CCAGGATATCCCAAGGCCGGGAGTTCGATCCTCCCTGAGGACATGTGTTTTTGTTTTTGTTTTTGCTTTGTCATTGAGATAATGATAAGAGACATGGACCCGTTGGAGGTTGACTATGTGCGTCTTACCCACTATACTTAAATACCTCTCGTGCATTGGATACTTAGGGGCAGCAACTTGAGAAGAGTCTTGTTGTATCTCGGAGTAGATGATTTGGCACGATGGAAGTCTCATGACCCTCAGAGAATCCCAGATCAAATCCCCCCATACCGCATACCATCATGCATCAAACGGCCAGAGAGAGATGGAGGAGTGTTAAGCCCCCACCCCGCGTCTCAACCGCTGCGCAGCCCCAGCCCCAGCCCCTTCTATCCCAGCGCCAGCGCCAGCTCCAGCTCCCGCCCCCTCCGACCCCGAAGCAGCAACAACCTCCCCCTCCAACCTCCGCCGCAACTCCTCATATCGCTCCCCGCCGGACCCAGTGACCTCCTCACCCCCTCTTCCTCTTACCCCCGCACGGTTCCGATCTGCTTGCCCAACCACCCACCCCGGCACCCGCCACCGATACCCGCCCGGCACAAAAAACAGCGGCAGCGCCTCCGTCCGCCACGCCAGCCCGACCCCCCACCCGACCACGGCCGGCAGGAGCATGGTCGGGAACTGCGAGGCGGCGAGCTGCGCCGCGACGAGGTAGGTGGTCGATTTGTCGGAGAGCGTGAGCGTGAGGTTTGATTTGGGGGAGTGTGAGTCCGTCGGCGGCGGGGTGTGTTGTGTTGCTGACGTCGGAGTACTCGGGTTGTTTGACGCTGTGGAAAGACAGTACCGCACCGTCGGCGGGATTGCCGCGTGATACTGCGCCAGTAATGCGAAGAGCGTGGCGGTGGGACCCGAGGGAAGCGCATTCAGCTTCGTGAGTGTGAGAGGGCGCAGGAGGAGGAGGAGGAGCGGCGGGAGGAGGGTCGTGTAGGGTAGGGTTGTTAGGAGGAAGGTCTATATTCCATTTTGTCATTCACTCGTTAGCACATAGCACATCCGATGATAGGCTCAAGCCTTGAGGGAAACGATATCCAAAGTTCTGGGGGTTCTCTGCAGCACGTACACCCATCTTCCGCGTCCCCCACGCCCGCTCCACCACCCGTAGATGGTAGGCCAGCATCGCGGCGAACAGCGCCTCCGTCGAGTTGCCGAACCCCGCCACCTGCCACGCCGCCAGGCGCCAGTATTGGCCGTACGGCCACAGGTGCGGCGTGATTTGGAGCAGGGCTAGGTGCTTGATGTCGAAGATCGCGAGCGCGACGGAGGCTGCGACCGTGTAGATGAGGAGCGCCTTGGAGATGGGCGCGTTGGTTAGGCCGGAGGTTAGCATCTTGGAGCTCCGTGCGGTTTGGCTCTGTGGGTGTGGGTGAAGGTTTGGATGTTGGCGATTTCCCAGTTCGCTTTTGTCTAAGGATGCAGGATTGTGGTTTTTAGCATGAGGGGTGGTGTGGCTGTTGTTGCGAGTTGATGTCGTGTTGGTTGCGGAGCGGATTGCGGATCGCGGATTGCGGAAGTGAGGTTGGCCACCTGGCACGTCGCGCCAATGACGGAGTGCGGGCCGAGGCTTATGTCTCTCGGCATGCCGCCGACAAGCTAATCTTTGCTTCATCCTCAATCATACATAAAAAGGGCAATTGAGTTGCTAGCTATATTTCACATCATTTTAGGTCTAGATCTATCATACATAGTTCCCTCCAATTCCAAGCTCACGCGGGAGGCATCTCCTTCATTTCTTCGGCTAACGCGTCCTTATACTTCGTCAGCGCCGTTTCCAATGCGCGGATCGTCGGCCCCAATAATCGGGTCACGGCCTGCTCCCCGCCAGCGACATTCGTCAAGTTGATCCGCAATTTCTTGCCCGTCGCCTCCAGCACCTCTCGGGCGTGTCGCCGCAGTCGGTTGATTTCCACCTGTCGCTCCGCCTCCGCGTCTTGCTGCACGGCCTTGATGCGGTCCATGGCCCGGTTGAGCGATTCGACCAACGAGGCCACTTCCCCCGCACGGTCGGGGTTACCCGACAGGAATGCTTGCCAGAACTGGTGCAAGAATTCGGTCGAGGTCGCATGCGTCAGCGTGAGTCGATCGTACAGCGCACTCGACAGGCCGAATGTGCCGGAGGTCGCTGACACCTCGGTCTGCGTGCGGCGGTCCCGGATGGCCTCGAGGATCTGACTTGATGCACGTTTTAAGTTGGCTCGGGAGCCCACCTGGCTGGCCTGCTTGGTTTCATCGTCGTCATCGTCCTCCTCGGGTTCCACTAGGCGCCCCAGAGGCACGATTCCACCCTCTGGCAGGTTTTGATCAACCTCACCACGCAAGTTGTTCAGGATCTGCTTTGGATCCTGCTGAGCGAATAACCGACTCTCCTCATCCTCATCCGTCTTGGATTGCGACGAGAAAAAGCGGCTCTGGTCCTTCACATTCAGCAGGATACGCCGTTGCTCCTCGTCGCCCCGCAGATCCCGCAGCTGCAGCTCGTTGTACGTATCATCCTCCGCGTCGCCATTCGCTTGCGGGATCGCATCGGCCGGCGCGACGTTCGCCATAATCTTCTCACTCAGGTTGTTCAGCGTCCGGATAATCGGGACCTTGTCCACGGAGGACGGTCGCATGTCGAGATCGGGGCGATTGCCGCGCCGCTGACTGTGATTGACCTCGTTGCCTGCCAAATCCAAAAAGTGCGGGACCTGCGCATCCCGCAGATTCCCATGCTCGTCGGCCTTGAGATACTTATCCAAAATTGCATCCGTCGCGTCCGTCTCGGAGATCCGCTCGCCGCGGAGCTTCTTGAACAGCCGGCTCTGAAAGAACCGCGACCAGAACTGCGTCTCGCTCAGCTTGGGCACGTTCTCGTCGTACACCTGCTTCACGAGCGGGTGCTGGTTGAAGATCAGCTGAATCTGCTCCTTGCTGATGTTGAGCTTCGTCACGCTGTCCTCCACCCGCGGCTTGAGCGTCGACAGCACGTTGTAGGAGCCGCGCGTCTGCGACCGCTCGATCGCGTGGGCGCGCAGCAGGTGCAGCCGCGTCGACCAGAACTGCTTCATGAACTGGCCCGCGGAGAGCGTCTCGGGCTTGGTGCCCATCGACTCCATGAACATGCGCTGCAGCTGCGGGTTCGACTTGAGCAGCGACTGCTGCAGCTCCATGTCGCCCTGGAGTCGCTTGTCGTCATCCCACGGCTTCTCGTAGCTCCCTCCGGCCGTGATCGCATTCGCCATCGCCAACGCCGCGGAAACGCCTTCGTTGGAGCCTCCGCCGGCGCTGCCAGCAGCAGCAGCAGCAGCAGCTACAGGAGGGGTGGGCGCGGCCTGAGCGGCCTTCGCAGCCTGGATGGCCGCACTGAGCGCATCCTTGATGGCGTCCGCCTCGGCTCGCGCATTCGCTCCGGCTGTGAAGTTGAAGACGTACTGTTCGGGGGTATTGTCCGGTGCGTTGGGGAGGAGGACGTGGATCTTCAGCATTACTTTGGGGCTAGTCGCGGGGGTCTGTTGTAAATCTATTTCCAATTTTTTCGTCATGTCATTAGTCTTTCTGAGCGAAGAAGAATAGCTCGAGAAGAGCAAGCTTGGGCGGTCGCGTTCTAAACAAAGCTGCGAAAATACAAAAAGAAAACCCACGCACTCGTTATCTGAGCCACCGAGATCGTGATCGTCCCCGTCGCACCTCCAGCCGCCGGGATCCAGGAGACCGACTGCTGGTCCGGCGACATGGTCAGGGTGCCATCTTTCTTCTTGTACACTGCCGACCCGCTCGGAGGGGCCATCGTCATCGAGCTCGACAGCGTCCACTGTCCTGGGCGGCGTCGAGAAATCCGCCCATCGGGAGGAGACAGTCCCACGGGAGAATCGGAAGGACCGGTGCCTTCAAGACCAAGACAAGATTGTCTTTTCGCGGGGCAAGGTCAAGAGAAAACCAGAGGTAGAAAGTGTGGGAAAAGATGTGAATCGACCTACGACGGGTTGCCGTAATGGATTAATTGCTGCCGATGCACGTGATGATGGATGTGAGAGACAGGTGACTTGGCTTAGTCATGGGCTACGCCAGCCCTAGATGTCTAGATCTCAACTGTCATGGAGCATGATGCGTTTCAAGTGTGAATTCTCTGTTTTTCTTGCGATTGGTTTCCATTATTTCTCTGGTGAGGTGGGTCTTGCTGTGGCGTCATGGTGTGGCATCAACTTTGTTGCGATCGAAGCTACTGATCTAGGTGTCGTTTGAGCTCCAGATAAATATACAACTTATCGGAATTCAAGTACCATCTCAGGAATTGCTCCTGCTACTCGTCACCAGTCACGAACTCAGAGGCACTATACCAACTATGTCTCACTACAAGAGAGATAGATGCAAAGTCCGCCTTACCAGCAGTGACAATCTTCATATGGGCATTTGTGAGATAACCCTCCCAGAAGCGTCACTCTGTCAGAGAAAACGGAGACTTTAAAAAAAGCCTTTAGATAGAGTATCTTAGCAATTGCGACAGACTATCCCTGTTCATAGCGCTTCAGAGCGTTAGTTCTGGCAAGCATAGTTTGCGGCTCACAGATCGGAGCGATATTAGACCTGTAGTATTGCAGGCCTGCATGTGTAGAAAAACCGTCGAATAATCTCTTACTCATGCTAGATGGTCCGTTGAGAGAATGATACGCGTATGGGTTATCAATATATCTGGATTGTAAGAAGCCAACTCAAAGGTGGTTAGAGATTGATCGCCTAGATGCGCGGTCGCATCCACCGCAGTTTCTTGAAACGAATGATGCACTTGAGATGCCCCGAAAATTGTATACTAACTCGCTTATATGGCAGCCCTCTCATTGGTCCAGATTCCGAATAAGGTGTGAAGTCATGTGACCTCGCGGTTTGCGGGGACGCGTCGCAGTCTTGCTTGTCCACTGCTGAACCCTCCGCGTGAGCAGCCTATTCTTTAGTGCAGAAGATACCTGAAGATCGAATTCCACGTCAAAATGTCCTACTATGATATTGATGCTATCCTAACAGATGCACAGGTAGGTTGGCGGAGAAGACTGGTGTGTCCTTTCTAACAACTGACGAGGGCAAATCTGATGTAGAAACTGCCCTGCACATTTGAGCTCGACGTGCCGGGTCTTGGCATTCTAGAAGGCAATCCGGGAGAGAATGTATGGAAACTTTCTTGACTTGAGTTCTGCATACTGGCTTGGCTGACCATGCTACCCAGATCAAAGCTGGGACTCGCATTGACCTGCCACTTTGGTTGGGGGAGATGCTGTCCATCGGGTAAGCGAATTTTGGTGTCTACTTGTTGCCATTGATTGTGGCTGTTATCTGATGGGACCGCTCTCAGTGCACGGCTCGGTACCTCGCGACTGGTGACGCTGGATCTCCCATATGCATTGTCGGATCGTGTCCTGAACGCATTGAAGGCTGATCCCCGGACGGTGGACTTGCGCTCGCTGGCGCCCCATTTCTACAGTCTGAGCGAACGGGTACTGGAACTGTTTGAGGAAGAGGAGATGGTGGATGTTCTGAGTAATGTATGACCATGCCCCCTCCGGGAGTGATGACATTCAAGAGGGAGGAGGTCAACAGGATCGCTCATCGACCGACAGACATTCAAGAAGCGTGCAGCGCAGATCGCCGACCATGCGCACAATCCGCAGGGCGCGTTGGGCCAAGGGGCGGATTTTCTGCGTGGTCTGGACGAGACGGAACGACAATGTACGTTTGGTTGACGGTGTCGTTGATTCTACTGCGTAGCCTTCGGCTGTCCCTTCTTACTGACTTCGATTCCACCCAGTGTTCCGAGCTACGCATGACAGTGCCAAGGAGACCCGGGTCTGGGCCGGGGAGTCGAAGAAGAAATGAGTGAGCGGGTTTGTGAGGATACACCAAAGAAGGCTGAGCTGTGCTCGCCACCGTATTAGAAGCGAGTGCTTTTCTGTTTGTTGTTTTTTTCGAGCAATGTGATACGTTTTTGGAAGGGAGGGTTTGAAATCGGTAGATGGAAGTTTTAGATCCGATCGCCACTTGTCATCAACTCAGGATTGTATGATCCACGCAATTGTATAGATTCGACGATATGATATTCTGAAGGCAACCGAGTGACGATAAGGGGGAGAGCTCACTCATAATGGTGGTGCTCAAACCTCGTTCGGGTGAGGAGCCCAACAATTCTCTGGTGCGCACCCTTGAAGACCGAAATGATCGAGTTCCCAAGATCTATAAAAATGGGTAAGCGAGGCCGTGGAGGCACAATAGTCTACCGTGCAGATCTTCGTGACAATCCCAACGCTCCGGAGGCAATTCGCCCAGATGATCTGCTGCGGCTTCGGATCAGTCAGCTGGACAGGTAACTGTAAACCGCTAGTAGGAATGAGCGCAAAAAAGAGCCCCCGTTGGAACCATCGGGATTTTAGGAACTTTGCGTAATGTGTTCGGAGTTGACCTTGGAACCGGATTCTTCGATTTAGCGAGGTATAGACCACGTTCAGGCTAACCGTGGCATGAACGATGGGACCAAGCCAGTCTACAGCAGTGATTGCTGGAATCGCACCGTCGGCCACGGCACCAAGGATGGGGCTTTGCTGAAGCGTGGGGCAAACCGAGGATGATACATCAGATTTCGCGAAACAACCCGGATGAGACGGGGGATATTGTAGTGGATGAAAGCAGTCTAGGTGGATCAGTAGGAGATCGGAGAATTGAAGGAAGAGGGGTGAGATTTTAGTGGCAGAAAGAAAGAGAGCTGATTAGAATTGTTGAAGATTCCGAGTTTCAGTCGATCGATCTCGAACTGTACAGAGTAAGTGTAAGACCGAAAGGGGATTCTGCTGGGCTGGTCCGCCCAGCCCTTGTAGACCTACGGAGTAGACTAACTGGCCAACCTCCCCAAAGTCGAGACTCGAAAAGAGGGGGAAAGAGTGAGAAGACTGGAAACACTGGGAAAGGAACCGCGGGTCTAAATTAGTCTCCTCCACTTGCTAATCCACTCCAGGTCATTATCTCATTATCTACTACTCTAACTGGTCTGTTGCTCACTTCTGGATCCCTTCTCCTCTTCTTCAATGAGAATCGATTACATTCCTTTAAATAAAAATACATCAATCATCATTGACATCTCAGCTTAAACATTCAAATTCCCTTGTCGTGGCTCGATCTTACTTAGGAACTCGATTTACATCCAACACCGTCTGTCGCATGGCAACCGCAATCCATTCCATTCCCTATCGAAGCATACCACCAAACTACATATCTAGAACTGTAACAAATAGAAACTATATTGCAATACTACCTTGTTAGCGCTCACACCCCGACCATCGTGCAGTGTGGGGATCACTTCCTGTCACTCTTTTCTCTCCTGTCTTGGCTGTGTGTGATCTGAAGATCCACGCTCGACTCGTCACAATCCTTCCTGGCGGCCTTTTCTCCTCTCTCCCCTCACTTCCAGTTCGCAGCCCAGCTGCCTCTAACCTTTTCCCCCTTTAGACGGTCGCGATAGCGATCCTTCCATCTATCTTTGGCTGCGTCAATTGCCTTGTCCTCGCTTCCCCCGCCAGCTTGTCTGAGGCGGTGGGCCTGCCCTGTCGTCACCCAACGCCTCGCCAGCCCGGTTCCTTTTCCTCAGGACGAGACATTGCTTTTTCTCCTTACGCTATCGGTCGAATTACAGCCCCTCTTTCAATCTGACCTGCATCTTTGGTGGATACAATCCTGCGTTTTACTGCAGTGAGACTGGTGTCCTGCGTCTTGTCAGTGATGCGCATCGGATAGTGGGATCGCTCTCTTTTTTTTTCTGTTACGGTTCCCACAATTGTACGAAAATGGACACGAAACTCCAGAGACGGAGCACCATCTCGGTGCAATCAGTGACTCCGTCTTCTTTGCGCCACTGCTCCTATCCATCTCCAGCTACTTCTCCTTCGAAGGAACCCCTCTCCTTGTCGCGGAGTCACAGTGCGCGACGCAAGAGTGAGTTCTCACCATGGGGACTATCCCTTGATCCGCCGAAGGGATAGGAGACACATCAAGGAATTGTGAAAGCTGACGTTTCGGTTTCCTGTGCAGTTACATCTATCCCTCCGAAGCCTCTTGCCCTAGCCCGAGTCAAGGGGTCTGTCAACATGGATTCCTCCTCGCAGATGGGTTCAGGTACGATCTTATATACCCCAGCCCGTCTCCACACCGACCCCAAACAATTGACCACCCTGTAGAGATGTCATGGTTGAATGACGCATCGCCCATATCAATGACACCCCGAACTGCAACACCTCGCACGCCTCAGCTATCGAGAGCCGGTAGGATACCTACACTACAAACTCATGGTACTTTGGAAAGGCAATGGCTGATGGCTTGCGGAATCTTTAGGATCGCCTGAACCGGAAACCACTGCAACATTGGTTAATCCTTCTTCGGCTTTGTTGCAAGATTTGTTGAAAGAGCAGCGCGCAACGCGAAGTACCAAAGGAGGATCGGACGAATTGAAACCATGCAATCCTCAAACACCGGAACGGTCTCATCGCAAAAACAAGTCTCCATCCCAGTCACCGGTGCAATCACAGGCGCAGTCTCGAACTCAGTCATGGGAAGAAGCTGGCTCCGAAAAACAGCGTAGAGTCCACAGTGTGGCCTCGTCAGGCACTAGACAGCCGAATGATATGGGTGTTAGAGAGATGGGTGAGGTAGGTTGCATCCCGCCGCTGCGTTTATGGCCTGTCGTTGCTGATTCTCTACACAGTATGTCTCAAAACTCAACAAGCAGAACTTCGACTTGAAGCTGGAAATTTTCCATCGTGTACAGCAGGTGACGGCATTGGAGAAGAAGCTAGTGAAAATGGAGGAGATGGAGGAAGAGCTCCAGCGCCTGCGCTCCTTGGAAGAGGAAGTGCAGGAGCTTCGAGAGGCGGAGGCTGATAACCAGCGGTTGCGGGAATCAAACGAGGAATTGAGGCAGGAAATCGACAGGCGCGACCAGGCAATAACAGAAGCAGTCAGCATGATATGCGTTCTCGAAAACAAGGTCAACGAATTGCGAGGTGGTGAAGATTCATCCAGACCGTCGACGGCTCGGCCAGATGAAGATATTGCAACCCCAAAGGCGAAACCCACTGTTCAAATTCCGGAGAGAATCTCGTCGAAGCGCGGTACCATTTTCTCGGAATCTCGCCGAGGCTCCTCCGCATCCCATCATCTTGAACGTGCCCCGTCATTCTTGCGTGACGATAAGAAAGGCGCAGCGGCGCTTCGGAGTTTATACGATGCGCCTGAGGATCAATCCCATACGGCCATGAGCGAAATCACCAAGTCGGAAAGCTTGCAGTCGATGACTGACACACTTGACCTAGGTTCGCCGAGACTCAGTGCTCTCAGTGAATGCAGTGAGCTGTTCCCCCTGGGTCCAGATGGTGACGACGGGTTCGACCAGCTGGAGATACCTGTCATCCGAAAGGAATCGGCAGTACATGGCTCACAGACCTCTGACGTTGCGAGCTCCCAAAGCAGAGACCTCATTGAATCCTGGGTCCGACCACCACACGATGTTTTTGTGGATGATGTTCCTCGCCGTAGCATGCAGTCTTCCCTTCCGAAGGGACCCAAGAAGACGAGTTTCGACAGCGACTCTTACGGCTCCAGTCTCAAGACACGCATCGACAGCGTGTTCGGAACGGCAAGACTACCACCCACACCTGATACCATGAGCACAGCATACGCTGCGTGTCCGAGCCGCTCTAATGGGAGCATTATTGCAGAGAAGAGCCAATATGATCAGGGTGTTGCCATGGGATTCCGGCTCCGGCGCCCGCGCTCCGTTGATGAATTAACAACCATGAGAAGCTCGTGTCATAGTGTCGGTAGTGACAATCTGACAGCGAATGTCAGTGATGCTCCGGCGCCATCCCAGAGCACGGCTGGAGGGGACGTGACTCCGACTTTGTTTCCGTTGAATTGCATCACTTCTAGGGATGACCGGCTGTTTGACCGGGATTCCCATGAGAAGGCCAACTTTGGCTACTACAGTGGCAATGTGCTGTACAACGAAGATAGCTTGGAAAGGGTCCTCTCCAAGATAGATAACAAACACTATCAAAGAAAGCCATCCAGGTCGATTGAGGAGCTTTCAGCCACACTATCGTCCTCGCCGCCATTGACCCCTCAAGATTGGGTTGAAGCAGCCAAGCCTGCTCCTCAGGTAGAGAAAGAGCAGCCTGAGTTGACACATCTGGAGCCTATTGCGTTGAATCCTCGTCTGTTCGTTGCACGCGCACCCAGCCAGGCTTCTTTTCTTGGCCGCAGACATAGTATCGACTCGAGCTTCAGAGAACCTGATATCCCCAGCATTCCCACGCTTGACTTGCAGTCTCTAGAGCCCGGACCACCGCCGGAGCAAGACACGGAGCGTCGTAAGCGCATCAGTCTACGGCCCCTGTTCGGTCGCTCAGGAAGCGCTCGTCGTTTTCAAATGTCACCATTTGACGACCAGACGGATAGTGATCAGGGAGCACCTGCGCCAGTCATACATAAAACGCGCAACAATGCCCCACCCAGGCCGTCTAGAGCCAAGTTAAACTCAGAGGGCCCTCGTGACCTTTCCGCTTCCATGCCCACCTACGCCGACGGGATGGCGGACCAGGCTCGCCGGACTCTTCCTCATTCATTCACTGACTCGTCATTTACAACAAACCCGGCGCTCAAACCGTTGACCGCTAGCATCAAAGACCACAAGCGACGGAGTTCCCTTGGACTCTTCGGCTGGATGAAAGGCTCCAGCAAGAAGCCCGAGCCCCATTCACCCGCCAAGCATGCCATGCCCCCCAGTGGGATCTTGAAAGACAGACCCACGCGCATGGCCCAGGAATTTGGGGAGCGCAAGCCTCAAGAGTCTGCCGGGAATGCCAACGTGCCCACGGTGAGCTTTGCGCTGGAGACTAAATCCAGAGGTTCCGTTCGTTCCGACGAGGACGATCCAACACGACGGCCGCGATATATGGACCGAAAGTCTCGTCGAGGCTGAGGGCTTTCGCAACTCATGTTGAATCCGGCCCTAAGTCTTTTTTCTTTTTCTTCATTTTTTTGAAGCCGTCATTTTCTTCTATCTGCGTCGACCTGATGAATTGAATGTCATGATACCCCCTTGAGTTACCTATGATGTTAGGGTTTTTACTGGTGTTGCGGACGATCCAAGGGCTTCTTACTCATTTCTTTATCACTTTCAAGACACTTCTCCTGACGCTGCCTTGTTCAATTCGCGATAAAAAGGTATCTGGCTGGCACATGATATCCATTCACACATACAATTTATGCTCAGGCTTAATTCTGGCTTTACGTGACGAGACGCTCTTTTGTTCCTTAAAGAGAAAAAATGATGGTTATGTTTTTCCTTGTGTCTGAATGATCCCACTCTGAATTGTCGCTCTCTATTAGTCCTAATTCCTAGTCACTCTTTCTTACGTCGTTCATTCCTTTTTTCTTCCATTGCTGGATGCACAATCGTTGTCTTGGTTAGATCTCCTGTGATAATGATAATGATGAAAGAAAATGCATGATTTGTGATGACTTTGGCTTGATTGAGGATTTTATGATCGAGTGAGGATGTTAGTGCTTTGGGCTTAGCATCATACTCCACGATCACCTAATTTAGATTCATACTCAGATGGAGTAGAGACTTTTACCTCTTCCTACTGCAGTATACCCATCACTCCCGCAACACAGAAGATTAAGGACGAGTTCAAGTATTACAAAAAATGAAGCAGGGGGGGGGGCTAGTCTCAAAACATGGTATCATAACTCAAATAATTACAAGCCCTGGGAACTATGCTCGCTGTTCTTATCTTTCCTGATCATGGCTATACAGCCATTTCCAGGAGCTGAGTTCGCTATCTATAGAAACCAACAAGAATGCTGAAGAATGTTATTGTGGGACGGAAGGCAGAGGGAGGTCGAGAGAGAAAAATCACTTCCCCTCGGCCCGCTCCACCAACCGATCCTCCAACCCCATGGGCTCCCAAACCTCCTTGGCCTTCTTGTTCTGAACCCAGACGACGTCGCCCTGCACGAAGGCGACCACGCCGCCTTTGCCTGTGGCGCTGGCCGTGATCCGGAACAGCGGCTGGCCGTTCTGCGGGTGCGCTTCGCGGAGCGGCAGCATGATGAGCCCCTGTTCCATGCACCATCCTTCCAGGATATCCTTGAAGGCGACCTCTTCGATGATCTTGGGTTTGGGTCGGGGTGCCGGGATGGTGGTGGTTGTGGGTTTTGTGGTTGTCGTAGTGGGGGGTTGGTCGTGGGTTGCTGTCTTGGTTTCGGAGGAGGTGGTCGGAGGCGGGAGTTCGGCGGCGGCACGGTCGCCCAGCTGGGAGGCGAGGTCCATGGTCTGCAGAGCTTTGTTCCACTCGTCGTCGACGATGGTCAGTTCGTTCAGCGAGGCGGGGATCTGCGTGCGCCACCAGGTGAACCACTCGGCGACTTCCTCGTAGTTGGGGTCGTTGGTGAGCCAGATGTAGAGGATCTGGTGGAATTTCGGGAAGAACTCGGTCGTCAGGAGGAGGGCCATGACGTTGACCGGGAAGTAAGGCTGCCATTGGAGGACATGCTCCAACGCTGTGAGGTCCTGGTCCTGCGGGTTGACCTGGAAGTCTTCACGGAGGTGGCGGCCCAGGCGCGGGAGGAGGTGGTTGCGGAGGCACGAGTCGAATTCGGAGCCCAGTGCGTCCCGCCAGAGCTCGATCCCGCTAATCAACCCCTTGCCCAGGTCCCATGTGTCGAGTACGACCCGGAATTTGCGCTTCGCGTCGGAGAGTAGGCCGGTCGCTTGGCGGGGGTTGGTGTGGCGGTCGTCGAGGTATTGGAGCCACGTGAAGAGCCACCAGGGGAATCGGGAGGATGAGGATGCGTGGTGGTGTTGTCGCCGGCTGCTGCTGCTTCGGGGTTTCCATTCCTTGAGTCCGCTGGTGAGTTTGGGGACGACGAGTTGGTCGAGGACGTTGGAATAGATGAAGGGTGGGAGGAGTTCTTTCCAGGCCACGATGAGGGATGTGGCGGGTGCGGGTTCGAAGACGTCCCAGTCGTTGAGGAGGGCGGAGCGCACGCGCGGCAACCAGAGGGTGTAAATCATGGTTTCGTAGGGGGAGGTGGATGAGCGCTGGGTGTGTTCGCCCCGGATGTCGCGAAGGAGTAAGGGCTGGAGACGGCGGAAGTTGGCTACAAGGAACGTGGGCTCCTTGAGAGGTTCCCATTCCTCCATGGCTTGCCGGAAGAGAGGGTGAATCGCGGCCACTGCAGTCTCCGGTAATCGGTACTCGTCGATCTCGTTGCGGAATTTCATCTCTATCGACTCGAGCTTGTCGGTCAATTCGTCGAACTTGGCCCGGGTTTCCTCCTTCTCGGAGACCTCCAGGGCTCCGATGGTCGCAATCAACTCGGTGAGCTGATCTGCCTTGAGCTGGTTTGTGTCCAACTGGTCCACAATCTGAGTTTCCTCCATCTCGATGTATTTCTTCCTCTCCGCCAGTCCTTTCCACTCGTCCGCGAAGGCCTCGAGGTCGTTGCGTGCCCGTTGTGCAATCTTCCAGGCCTCTCCCTCGCCTTGGTTGACGAACGCCTGAGGAGTCATCAGACCGGCGGTCGAGGTGATCACTCGCTGCTCCTTCCCAGTCGCATCGATTAATGACTTCAGCACATTGGGAACCTCCAGTCCCTCCATATCCTGCTCAATTTCGCGTGCGGTTCGGAATTTGGGCTTCGCTCGAGCAACGGGTGTACTCGTTCCGCTGCGGCCATCGCGTTTGCGCTCCTCTTTCTTCTTCCTTTGTCGCCGCTTGCGTTCTTCATCTGAGCTCTCCTCGACGGTTTCACCGCGCAGTGCCGCCGCCCGTTTTTCCTCCTCTCGAGCTTGTTTAGTCTTCTCGCGGACCGCACCCAGACCCGCGCCCATGGGGCGAGCCTGCGCCTCGATCGGGTTGATGATACCCTGTCCAGAAGAACCCAGACCTTGCCCCTCCTTGTAACCCATCTTGGCCATCATGCGCGCCGCGAAGGAGTTACCCCCCGCCATGCCTTTGCCTCCATTGTTGCTCCCACCTTTCGCCGTAGCCTGCGCCGTGTTGTTCCAGGGGTTGCGCCGCCCGCTACCTAGCCCGGCGTGCGCGGGTGGTGATTCGGAGCGAGACGCTGCTCGGTTGAAACCGCGAAAGCCCATGGTAGGGCGGTAGTTCTCTTCTTCGTCGGAACTCATGTCGGCAACTTTGCGTTTTTGGCCGGCAACGGGCGAAGATTCGGAGGAAGACATGACCGGGATCTGGAGGGAGTCGGTCGCAGTATGTAGACTAAATCTACTCTGAGCTTGCGACCTAATCGATAAGCGTCGAAGTCATCACCGACGGAGACTATAAAGGAAGAGAGGCGATGAATGGCGACCTCTCGGCCAAGGTATGAGAGTGGCAGCAAGTGCCGGACCACTCCAGAATTGGTGGATCCCAAATCGGGCCAGGTCGGGGCGGGGAAATGCCTTCTCCGAAAGCAACAATGACGTTAGGAACTTCTTCCGCCCTCCTCCTCACTGCGGACTTCTCTTCTTCTTCTTCTTTTTTTCAACTGTTGTTCATTCCTCACTTCTCCTTTCAACTCACCTGTCTAATCCATAATCGTCAATCATGGCTGCTTCTCTCGTCCGCAACACTGCCCGCTTTGCCCTCCGCAACGGAGCTTCGGCTACCAGAGCTGCCGGCAGCTTGACCTTTGCCCGCGGCAAGGCTACTTTGCCTGACTTGGCTTGTAAGGACTCCTTGGCCCTCGGATAGCCGAACTCAGTGCAAGAATGCAGCTTTCTAGCTTCTTTCCTCCAAAGACAAAACCCAGCATGTGACGAAACTAACCCTCGACAGACGACTACGGTGCTCTGGAGCCCTCCATCTCCGGCAAGATCATGGAGCTCCACCACAAGAACCACCACCAGACCTACGTCAACAGCTACAACACTGCCATCGAGCAGCTCCAGGAGGCTCAGCACAAGGGCGACATCGCCGCTCAGATTGCCCTGAAGCCCTTGATCAACTTCCACGGTGGTGGTCACATCAACCACACCCTCTTTTGGGAGAACCTGGCTCCCAAGAGCGCTGGTGGTGGTGAGCCCCCTGCTGGTGCTCTGTCCAAGGCTATCGACGAGAGCTTCGGCAGCCTGGACGAGTTCAAGACCAAGATGAACGGTGCTCTCGCCGGTATCCAGGGTAGCGGCTGGGCCTGGCTCGTCAAGGACAAGCAGACCGGCAACATCGGCATCAAGACCTATGCTGTAAGTGTACACCTACTGGATGTGAAGGTGGAGGGATACTGACTCGAGGACAGAACCAAGACGCCGTCGTCGGTCAATTCCAGCCCCTGTTGGGTATTGATGCTTGGGAGCACGCCTACTAGTAAGTTGACTCGGACCACTTGCAGTAGAAACACCTCGACTAATTCGTCTGCAGCCTCCAATACCAGAACCGCAAGGCCGAGTACTTCTCGGCCATCTGGGACGTCATCAACTGGAAGGCCGTGGAGAAGCGCTTCTCGGCGTAAGTGTAATGCAAGTAGTGATTGTATTCTAGCGCGGCTTGATGAGCGTTCTCACGATCTGTTTTGTATAACGTAATCTGGATACTCGGGACTTGTCAGGCTGTTTAATGTACGGTCCTAATGCACGAAGTTATTCTGATCAGGTTCTTGTACTCACCTCGACATAATTAAGCATACGGAGGGTCCAGGCCCGGCAGTGGGCGGAAGGCAGCGCCGCAGCTTCCGGGCCCGATCCGTCGATTTTCTAATGCTTTTGTCTCATCTCCAAACTTCCCCTGCAACTTCCTCCTTTCCTTGCCTCTTTCTTCTTTCTACTCCCTGTCAATCACATTGACAATGTCAGCCGAAAGTCCCGGCGAGAAGAAAAGTGGCATCCGGGCCTTCTTTGCCCACGCCCTCCGGCCCAAGAAATCCCGCCAGGTTCTCCGCAAGGGCTATAGCGCATCAACGCCGGACCTACGAGGGGCAGCCGGCCTGCACCGACCCAGCACCACGAGCGAAGATGTGCCGCCACTACCTTCCCTCGCGCCATTGGAGGCCCATCGGCTGAAGTACCGGGAACTCAACGCCAACAAAGACTCCCAGCTTGGTGAAAACCGCGACCATACCGCCATCCTCCACACGATCGGCGACCAGGACTTCAACCGCTACGACCCCTATGGCCTCGAAGGCGAATATGACAACCGGCCCCCCGGGGAGCCACACATCGCCAGCCTACCCTCACAGCTCTGGGTACACCTCGCAACGAACTACCTCACGCTGGCCGACACGGCCAGCCTGGCCTTCTCCAGCAAAACCCTTCACCAACGCCTCGAACCGCTGGACCCGTTCCACGCCCTCTCCCTCCCCTCTCACCACACCCAGCGCATCAACTTCCTGACCACCCAAGACCGCCACCTCCCCGACTACCTCCTCTGCATCCCCTGCGCCCGCTTCCACCGCCGCACGCACCCAGGCCACGAGAAGCTCCAACCCGCCGATACCCTGAACCCTCTCTTCACCTGCCCGGAAGCGCGCAACCCGCTCAACGCGCCGCCGCGGCACCGCATCACGCACAACCGCATCCTTCCCTACACCTTCGTGCAGCTCGCGATGCGGGCGCACCGCTTCGGCCCGGAGTATGGGATCCCGTTCGCGGCGCTGTCACGCCGCTGGCGCCGCACGGAGTGGTCGCACCAGACGCGGTTCCAGATCCACAACAACCACCTCCTGATGCGGGTGACGTCGACGCGGTTTGCGGACCCGGGCCTGCCGCCGTCGACGGTGCGGCTCCTCCTGTACTCGCGCGAGGACTACGTGCCCTATTTCTCCGTGTGCGCCCACTGGCGCGACGGCAACCTGATGGCTGCCTGCAAGTGCGCCCTCTCGCACATCCCCGTGCCGCGCGAGACCGCCGCCCTGCAGGGGCTCGAGCACCGCGCCAAGGACCTCCTGCACCGCCGCGTCTACAACCCCAACGCCCTGACCACCCTCTGCGGCAAGTGCCGCCCCATGCGCCGCTGCCCCGAGTGCCCCTCCGAGTACCTCATCGAGATCAAGCTGACCGAGGACCGCTCCGAGGGCTCCGCACACAACCTGCGCTTCCGGCATGCCATCGTCGTCACCCGCTGGTGTGACCTGGGCGATGGCTCGGCGCCCTCGCGGTCCCGCGAGTGGGCCGCCTGCTGTGGCGTCGACGGATCCGCCGGGGATCATCAGGGGAAGACTCATCAGACTCCAAAGAGGATTCTGGCCGAGGGGGGCCCAGCAGGGGAAGGGGTTGTTGGTGGTAATGATGATGATGGGGACAGCCCTGCAGCTGGCAACGAGGGCGGCACGAGTAGCAGCAGTAACAGAATCTACGACTCCTTCAAGGAGATAGGCAAGCGGTCCATCTCCGGGACCTTTGAGAGCATGATCACCGATGATACCCTTCCGGGCCAGCGGGTCATCTCGATGAACCCGTCCGGCAAGAAGTTAGGCGAGGAGGGGAATTCCTGGTATTGAAATTGTTTCCGTGCAGCCTCCCTCCTCTGTCAGAGGGTTTTTGGTGGTTGGCGGTCGGTGGATTAGGCAGAGTGTTTTTACGTGGTTCTGGGTCTGGAATTGGGCGTCTGCGTATTATCGGACTCCGGGAATAATGGAGTTGGGTGGAATTGTTTGGTTGGTTTGGAGTATTTGCATCATGTTGTCATTGTAAGGTTGCAATTTTTATAGACTGTTCCTAATTAGGGCGAAAATCCGAAAGGCCATTTCACTGTCCGTGTGTGATAGAAGAGCCTATATTGATTCGACTGCGATCGCCCTCGCAGTAGTTAGATGTCGTGCTAATGCAGGGTCTGGTCTCACTTTCATTTCAGGGGAGAATATCTACACATACCTATACGGCCCGAGGGAAGCCGATGAAACAATTTCAGTGTCATCAAGACGTCATACCTATTAGAATCTATCTAAAATAAAGCTAAACAATGACATGAAGTATGTATAGATCCGTGGGAGGAATGGTGGTCATCATCAGATCCAAACGAAAAAAGAGAACAAAATTGTGATATACCAGCCATGTTGTGGTGTGTATATGTGTGTGTGTGTGTGAGAGTCAAAGATGCCGGTATGGAAGATCGGGTATCCCCAGCGCAAAGTAGAAACATCCCGCCATCAAGAGAACAAAAAATATTCTGAGAAGGTGTCCTCCTCCCCTCCCATTTTCCTCTTTAAACCCAGAACCCAGTGTAGCCCGTAAACCCCGGTGATAACATCAAACCAAAGATGAAAACAAAAAACCGCTGAAACGCAAATCCACACCCAGAACGAATAATCACATATCATGGGGACGCTTTGGTCTGTATCGGGAAAATCGTGTGCTCAACAACGATGGCATATTCAGTGTTTGAGGGCTTGTTGTTCTTTTTGCTCGGATTCTTCTTCGCCTTCGTCTTCGTCGTTTTCCTCGTTCGTGTCCAGCCAACCGCGGGACATCTCGACCGCCTTGGTCCATTGTCGGTACATCTTCCGGCTGTGGGCGGGGGTGACGTGGGGCACGAAGGTGGTGCGGTTGGCACGGTCCATGTCCTTCAATTCGCTGAAGTCCTTCCAGACGTCGATGGCGAAGCCGGCGGCGATGGCGGCGCCCAGCGCCGTGGTTTCGTGCATTGCCGGTCGTTCGAGGGGGATTTGGATGATATCGGCTTGGGTCTGGGGTAAAGAAACATGTCAGTAATCGGATCTCGCGGGATAAAGAGAGCGAAGGATGCAACATACCTGCATGCAGATGTCGGAATTACTCATACCACCATCAACGGCCAGCTCCGTCAATTTGTGTCCGCTGTCCAGTTCCATGGCATCCAAGATGGCTTTCGTTTGGAAACAGGCGGCCTCCATGGTCGCGCGGGCAATGTGTCCACGTTGAGTGTGTTGGGTGATACCAACTGAGGGACAGTTAGTAACGTGACGTCATAGTCATAGGGGGGAAAGAAAAGTTGAACTTACAGATGGTACCCTTGGCATCGTCAATCCAGTAGGGAGCAAACAGACCACTGAAAGCAGTGACGAACACGCAACCACCGCTATCAGGCACACTCGCTGCGACCTCACTCACTTTGCGTGAATCACGGAAGAAACCCATGTTGTTCATCAGGAAGGAGATACCACTTCCGGCGACAGCGACACTACCTTCCAAAGCGTAAACTGGTTTCCGGTTCTTGCCCAATTGGAAGCCCACGGTGGCCAGCAAGCCGTGTTTCGAAATGACAGGCTTCTCACCGACATTGTAGAGAAGGAAACATCCAGTACCATAAGTGTTCTTGGCCGAGCCTGGAGTAAAAGCACAGTGACCGACCAGGGCGGAGGATTGATCACCCAGACAGCTGGTGATGGGAACGCCGTCCAGCGGCCCCGACCGGACCCACCCGAACCCTTCGGGGTCGGACGAGGGGATAATCTTGGGGAGGCGGATCTTATTCCGATCCAGCTCGAAGAATTTCAACAGGCGATCGTCATAGTCAAGGGTCTCGAGGTTCATGAACATGGTTCGCGAGGCATTGGAGACGTCGGTCACCAAGCGGCCACCTTCCGGACCACCGTTCAGGTTATACAAGAGCCATGTGTCGACCGTACCGAATGCAAGGCGGCCCTCATCGTAGGCCTTCTTCACTTCGGGCAGGTTGCGGAGCATCCACATCAACGTTACGGAAGAGGGGTAGGTGGACAGCGGAAGACCGCAAATCTTCGACAAGTCCTCTGCGCCCTTCTTGGCCTTGAGTTCTCGCACCAAGCCAGTGGTGCGGGTATCCGGCCAGGCAATCGCGTTGTGCAGTGGCTCGCCGGTCTCCCAGTCCCAGCAAAGTGCCGTCTCACGTTGACTGGTGATGCCGATCGCCTCGATCTCGTCCCGGGAGTGACCCAGAGCGAGGAAAGTCTTCATTGCTTCTTCGATACAGGTGTAGACCGAATCGACGAGTTCGAAAGGATCTTGTTCGTGCCATCTGTAGGGGTAAAATCGATCCGTTAGCTCGGCGGGGAACAGCCACATCAAAGCGATGCAAGTGTATAGTGAAATACTCACCCTGAGCGCTCGTGGATCTGACGGAATTCCATCTGGTATTTGGCCACGGGAACACCCGTGCAGTCGAAAATGATAAAGCGGGAACTCGTAGTGCCCTGGTCGATGGCACCGATAAAGCGGTCCTTGAGGTTATCGCTGCGACGCTGCTCATCTTGCAACAGAGAGCGATCGCCATCATGCGACTGGTGAGTATGAAGGTCCGCATAATTCTGCTGGCGTTCTTGTTGTTCCTCGACGAGTGCGTCGAGGTCTGACATATCAAAGGGGTTCCTCATCTTGGACTTGCGAACTTTAGTTGGTAGTGGTTGTGGTGGTGCAGACGGTGCCGGTTTAGGAACGTCTCTAGTAATAGGAGTGGTGGTTATGGTGGCGGTGGCAGTCACGGTAGGAGATTGATGAGAATGAGGAGGAGGGGAACGATGAGAATGAGGCGGAGGCGGAGGATTGGTGGTAAATTGCCCGTCAGGTTTCCGAAAGTAGGAGAAAAGTGACCAGGTAGGCAAAGCCTGGAGAAGGGAGGAAGTGATTGGAGAAATGGTGGCGGTATTGAAAGTAGAATCGAGGGGAAAACAGGATTACGTCCCTAGTCCGCTTCTTAAGACAGACGAGGGGGAAAGGCCCAGTGGAGCTGGGCGGGGGGGGGAGAGGGAGTAGTGGTGAGTGAGAAAGCGTTAGGGCTGGAACTACGACAAGAAAGACCAGCCGGACTGTCCAGCAAGTGGCGGCTGTTGTACGGGTGAATTGCGCAGAGTGAGAGTGAGAGCGCAGCGGACGGATTGGTGACGTAGAAGTGATTAAGGGTGAAATCAGGTGGAATCAGGTGGGGAACCCGGAGCACAGGATCTGGAGAAGCAAAGGGAAAAAAAATTGGAGGGAGAAGCAGCTGCGCAACCTGAGAGGGAGAGAGACTTGGTTGGGTTCGGGGAGAGACGGGGAAAGAGGGGTATGATATCACTCGTTATGGTGTAGGGTGGAGGAGGAGGATGAAAGCTGAGAGAACTGGGTGTGGTTTATAGGGGGGGGTACGTAGTGGCAAAAGCGGATTTCTATCAAGTATGAGTAAGAGGCCAGTAGTTACTCCGTACTGTAGTCAAGTTGTTCAGCGAGGAGAAGAGAGTGAAAATAATAAGAAGAGAGGAGAGGGGAAAATAAATCTGGTCCAGAGACAGGAGCTGGAGAAGACTCTCTCTTTATCCAAGTAGGTGGAACCTTTTCAATTGATGTTAATTCAATTTCTTAATTTTTTTTATTTTCTTCAAAATTTCCTAAATAAAACAATAATTCAATTAAGTACATAGATAGTGGTAGGTAGTAGTAGTGGTAGTAAGTGGTGGTGGTGGTAGTAGTGGTAGTCGTAACAGTAGTAAGTAGTTCCCCCCCTGGCTGCTCTAGACTATCTACCGACTGCTGCACTGTCCTGTACAGACTAAGTACAGAGATCCTGTCTGCTGCATCCCGTTGGGAGCTTGTTCCGGGGAATCTTCCTGGAGTCCTGGGCCCATCGAGTCTTGTCCGGAGTCGGGAAGGAAGGGAAGACAGGCAGAAAGAGTCTGTTCCAGAGTCTAGTCCCGCGAGGACTCAAGTCAGAACTTCGCTGGAGAGCAGATACTAGACCCCAAATTGGCAATCTGCTGAATCCCCGTTCGTTCCATCCATGGCGGAGAAGTGGGGGCGTGGGGGAGACGAGGGCAATCCCTTCCCTCCAACTCTCTTCCTAAGTTCCTTCTGGCCCTTCATCTTTTTTTTCTTTTTTTTCTGATCAGACGACCATCTGTCCGTCGTCAGCATTGACATCCGCCCCTCTTTCCATCGAAAAAGGGTCGAACAAACTGTGCTTCTCTTGCCCCCGGCTTTCCTCCCTCCCCCCTTACACCCCCATGGCAAAATGTTCCCCAGGTGCTGTGTGTGAAATCGGGAAGGTTAACCCCTGTCCATTCTTATCGCGAGTATATCAAGTTTAACCAGGTAGACGGTACGTACCTTCTGTCTAGACCATTATTAACCTGAATTCACTGGCAGCCTAAACTACTGTAGCGTCACAGCTTGTCACAGTTCCGTTCAATCCGGTTTCCTTCAAATTGAGATGGCTTGCAATACGTCTGTTTAGTGCTGATTTGTAAAGCCTCTGCATATACTAAGTATTTACCGACGGTTAGCCCGTATAACTTCCTTTCCCCCATCGGCAAGATATCCGAGCTTCCCAGGCCGAGCTGGGACTTCCTCATTCTTGTTCTGGCGGGAGTAATAGCTGGACTACCGCATTGGGAGGCAGCCCAGGGAAACAGAATCTCTAAGAATAGTCATCAAACTCCCACATGACATCCCAGAAGACCCATCCAAAATTCCATGGTTTTCTTTTCCCTCCACCCGCATAAATTAGCTGGCGTCTGTGCCTACCGTATCGGGGATCCCCTGCAAGAACCACCTGAAACTCCTCACAATCCATCAATGATCTATTCTTCCATGGAAACAAGCAATTCGCAATGAGATGGGGAGACACGAATGCCACCAGTCACGGCATCGATTGAGATGGACTAATTCTCGCGGAAAAATTGCAAGCGCAAGGACCAGGGCCCGGCGTGGAGGGATGGAAGCGATCGGTCATCGAAGGATGAACCAGACTAGCCATGCATCGCACATCCACATGCCTGCCTGACTTGACATCCAGATGTATGCCGTTGAGTATATACAATAGTACATCTGCACTACTGTGATACTATGTAGATCTACAACTGGCATTCTTGAGGCCCAATTGTCACCCACCGCACCCCTGAGCCCAGAGGAATGAGCACCCCTTGACTTCTACATCAAAGAAAGGCGATGGCTGGGCTTTTCTGTTTTTGATACTGGCCCTTGTGAGACCGACAATTGGAGCACTATGGACTCGTTACGGTCCCCAAAGAGGGGCTCTGCGGATGTGTCCCTCCGGGACAGCCGTGGAAGACCTTCGGTTTGACTAGATTCCTGTCGATCGAGCACATGACAATGTCCAATTTTCTCCTACTAGTCAACTAGTCGATTTTCACGCACGCGTTGAACCAGGCCCAGGTTCTAGACCGGGGTCTTCTCTACCCCTGGCTCAAATTTTTTATGGTCACTTGAACGCCTTTGGGATGAGGATTATCTCCGAATTTCTTGGGATCCTTGTGCTATTTCCATTTCCGACCAACAATAAGAATTGATAGTCTTGTATCCGTAGACTGGCGCAGTATAAAGTAGCGCGACACTGCCTATCCTGCAATAGAAGTTCTTGTGGATTACCTACATTGGATGAATGAATGAATATGAACACGCATTAAGAGGACAACACGGCGTAGGTGGAGCTTGAAAGGCTCTGACTTTCGGCCCTGACTAGGGCATATCTACCGGTACACTTCCCCTGACTTGTGATCTTTAGCGTGTCACTCCGGAGTCCATCTGGAGCCCATCCGGGCTGGATAAGTATGAGTAGATGAAGACGAGCTCGTTCGGCCTTCTGATTTACGGAGAAATTGTTGCCAGCCGGGAGTCGGTTCGGCGTGGCTTAAGGGGGCGGCTAGCTGTCTTGGGGGAAGCCACGGCCGCCACGGGATCGAATTGTCCCGACCACTGCTTGCCCTCCGGAGTCGAGGTTTAGATTTCTTGATAAGCACTCAACTCTTCGGGTTTCGTGTATGTGCGTGTTTTAAACTACTTACTAGATTCCTTCAGTGTTCTATTCTTGACCCATGAGCTGTCCGTCCAATCCCTTCCATGTGCCCATGTGCCCATGTGCCCTTCTTCTCGTCTGCCCTACAAGTTACAGTACACGCGGTGTTCTGCAGCAGCCTTTCCCTCATCCACAATGATGTATGTACTGTAGCTGGCTGGCTCCACGGGCCCAACCCAAAAACGGGCGGTGACGTCTTCGACCACATCTTTCACCAGCAACCACCCCAATGAATTGCACCCAACCCGATTTGTGTAACAACCAGGCACGACCTTGTGAAATAAGAGAACCAACTGATTTGGCACCTTCATGAACGACACTTTCTCCATAGAGGTCACGGCAATTGATCGGCTCTCTTCTTCTCTCCCATCCTAGTCCCGAACAGGTATACGAACACCCGCCAGGGACCGTCGTGGTTCTCTCCGAGGGGAAGATCAACTGGTTCGAGGCGGGAATGATAGCATTCCGACTCGGTATGACCTCAATCACTCGGATCATTTAGTCAGGCCCTTTCCCCAAACGTGTGCCAAGCACAGGGTCTCCAATGATGCAAAGTGCCTAGCCTATACTCATCGAACACAACCACAAGCATCAGCCTAATATGCTTGTGTACATAAAAAGATGTGACTGACAGAGACGGCTGCATCGACATATCCTGCCCTAGACCTATGGTATTTGATCTATATGGATTTTCCCACACCAATATATCACGATTCCTCAGATTCACTTTCGGAGGCACTACCACCAATCAACGTAATTAATCGGTTCAATGTGCTACCACTCCATCTCAACTCGTCGCCGTGGTCATCTTTGTCGTCGAGCCCTCCCGTCGTTAAACCTGTTTCTTCCGAATTCGTCATTGGAGAGGGTCTGGATCTGCAGAACACAACCATGTGTAGAAACGAACTTATGAACTAATGCTGTTTGTACTCTGGACAGTACACAGACAGCATCAGCTTCTCTGTCCAGGATTATTCATGGCCACCGACGATCCTTTCTAGCCCTCTGCGTAGAACCCTCCTCAATCTGCAGGTAGTTACTCTAATTCTTCTTCTGCTGGTGTTTGACAACGCACATGCTTTTTCTTTCCCACCAACCCGCCGATAACGATATCCCACCCGGCTAACCTTCCCTTTTTCTTTTTCCTTGTCAACGGCACCCATGGACAACAACCACACCCCCCCAGCCCTCCGGACTTGGGATTCTTCACCCGCCATTCCACATCATCCTTCCCAAGATCCCTTGCCGGTGGCGGTCACAATCTGTGGTTGTTTCCCTTTCTTCTTGCTTTCGGCGGGCTTGGGCCCCACAAACCCTTTTTCCGCCTTTAATTCTATTTATGCATATATGCATATGTGAGTACGAGTATGTTGTCACCTGACGAGGTGCTTTCTATACTGCACCTTATATACACTCAGTACATGCTCGTACCTTCGTACATGTACTTTTGAACCCTCCCGTTTGGGATTTGCTGGGCATTGACGCTGGGGAACATAAACCAGGGTTTTTGACTCTGGGGGTTTGCTTGCTTCTTCTCCTCCTTGGGGTAAGCGGTGAATTGGCTTGGTCACATTGCTCCTGGTTCAGAAGGGGGGAGGGTGAGGGGGGGAAGAGTACTACGTGCAGGACAGGGATCACTAACTGTCTAAACAGGTCACTAACACGTACACTTACATATTGAATTGACCACGGGGATAGCTCAGCTGTCCTGAAGATTCTTGAGACAAATGAAAAAAAATCACCAGCGTCTGCTGGAGGGGGGCATCGTTGAACTTCGCATTGTAATCTACAAGAAAAACTCAACCAATATTCAGAGGACATTCCAAAACCAATACATCAGACCACACCCACTTCCTCACAACATGCCTTCTCTCTTTCTCTCTGCTCAGATTACACGAAACAAGTCACAGGTCCTTCTGGAAGGATTCTTTTACACGACGACGAAAAGAGCTATTTACTCGGCATCCTCGAGCTCGGCACGCTTGCGGGCCTCGGCCTCCTCCTTCTCCTTCTTCTGCAGGAAGATCAGGGCGTTGATCTTGTCCTGGATGGTGTGCTCGCTGGTGAGGGTACCGGAGATCTGCTCACGGCCGACCAAGCTGGCGACGATGCTGGCACCGACAATGAAGGTCAGGACGAAACGGTACATGCCGTACCAGGCGGGGGCGCGGCCGGCGGCGGCGGCACGGGCGTCGTTGTAGTACAGGAAGGTGAAGGCAAGGAACTGCGAGATCAGGGCGTACTCAACGGGGAGGAGCAGAGTAGGCCAGGCGACGGCGGGGGCAACCACACCGGCGGCGTAGCGCTTGTAGCCGTACTTGCCGCCGTAGCCGGCCCACTCGAGACCCCAGTGGACGGCTCCGAGGAAGGAGAGGATCTGTTGATTGGTATCTTGGCGTTAGCTTTTGCTCCTTGTTTTCTCATATCTAAGAGTCGAAGGCGGGGCAGGGAATTGGTGGATGGGCTGCGGGTGAAACTTACGACAGCACCGTAGCCGACCTGGACGGGCTCGAGCATGTGCAGAAGCAACTCGGCGCTCTGGCCAGAGAAGAGCATACCGTCACCGGTAGCAGCGGCGGTCTTGATCTCCCAGGCCAGGTAGACAGTCTCGAGGGAGGTAGCAAGGTAGGGGATGACACCGGCCATTCCGAGGTAGAGAGCCTCCTTGGGGACAGCCTCCAGGCTGAAGGTGTCCTTGATCACTTTCTGTAGTCGAGCAATTGTTTCATGTTAGAGCGTTCAACAAAGATTCGGCCCCACGGGGAGGCTAGAATCGCATGCAATTGGGGAGGGGGAACGTACAGCCTCGGCCTTCATGCCGGCCATCATGTCGGTGTCCTCCTCACCGTCCTGCAATGTCCCGGGTCAGCGATTGAGCGACATCCGCGTCGATCCCGCGAGGTTTCTCTCTCACCTTGTGGGAGGTGGAAGCATGGCGAATGAGAGCAGTGGTAACGGGCTTGCGAGCAGCCAGAGCGAGGCTGGGGGAAGTGGTCGGGCGAACGGGGAAGCGAGCGGAAGAGGTCAAGGGAGCCTTGAAGACATTGTTGGACAGGGCCGAGCGGGCGACCGAGGCGTTGGAGCTCTGGAGAGCTCTGAGCACAGAGCGAGCAGCAGTGGTTCTGTACAACATTGTCGTTTTCGAGACAGCTAATTTTTTTTACCCGATGTCCGCGGTTAGCAAAAGTGGAGAGAGAGAGGCTGGAAAGCTCGGATAAAGCACTGCACCCGGAGGGGGGAAGTCACGCACCCAATTGAGCTGGAAGAAGAAGAGAAAGAAGGTGTATGAGCGGAGAAGAGGGTATTCACCCGAAATTTGGTCGAGTTGAACTCGTGAGAGTGGAGATGTATGGCCGGAGGGGGAGCAATTGAGCCTGGAGACCACGAATGAATGAGGTGACATTAGACTGAGGTGCGGTAACGTCGAAGCTCGGGCGTACCATAGACTCCAACCCCGCAGGTGTCATATTCATTGCCTCAGGCACGATTGGACCAGCGGACCACGAGGCTGACTCAGCACCAGGGCTGCAGCCCTAGACTTCTGGACCGAATCCAGCCAATGGCTGGGGTGCTTCAGGCAAGCTGGTGGGCGTTAACTCACCGGCGTGGACGGGGCCGGACGGGAAAGAGCACCGACGTCACTTACTGTGCCCGCGCGTCACTAAGTGTTCCAGCGCAAGTCCCCTCTTCCCCCCCCCCTATTATTATTATTATTATTATTGTTGGGCCCAGTTCATGCTATCCCCAGGTACAGAGCGAAGTACACTCGTCTCTGACGACAGCCGTATTGTTCTACCACTCTTGGGGATCTAGCCTCTCACTCATTTCATCGCAATTGGGTAAGTTGCTCTAGGTTGATATCCAACCTTTTGGCTTCCCCTCTCTTCACCGAGTTACCTTATTACCTTGTTTGCTCACTTTCTATAGAGAGTGGTCTTTGGTGGTCTGCGCCCGGCTTTCCTCCTCTCCGCACTCCGTCCCTCTTGAGCACGTTCCGGAGAGCATATCTTGTATCTTAGCCTGCTGGCAACGCTTTCGCGTGCACATCGAGCCTCAACCTGCATGGCTCTATTCTCCACGGTCAGCGAGTGCAACTAAAGCTCGCGCTCCATAGTAAGCTCATATCTTTGGTACCTCTATACTTCCCCGGCTTTCCCTCTTCATTCCGGTGATCTTATCTGATGGTTCATCACTTTTCACTGACCGACCCGTGGATACACAACACAATCCAGGCCGATTTTCATCCACGATCCCTACCTTATTCCCACCCTTACTGCTATAACGGCCCCTAATTCCTCCCCAGGCCCGGGTTACGGCCATACCCCGCAACCATGTTGGAGGGTTTGGTTGCCAACTTACTCAACCGCTTTCTGGGAATCTACGTCAAGAATTTCGATGCCAAGCAGCTAAATATCGGCATCTGGTCTGGCGATGTCAAACTCCACAACCTGGAGCTCCGGCGCGAAGCTCTTGACCAGCTTCATCTCCCCCTCAACGTCGTCGAAGGCCATGTTGGACAGCTCACTCTCTCCATTCCCTGGTCGAATCTCCGAGGCAAACCCGTCCGAGTCGACATCCAGGATGTGTTCCTCCTCGCGGCCCCTAAGGAGGATGCAGACTACGACCCCGAAGAGGAAGAGAGGCGGGCGCATGCCCTCAAGATGGATAAGATCGAGAGCGCGGAGATGCTAAAGGAACGCAACATTGAGGGCATGAGCCAGGAGGAGCAGCGCCGAAACCAGAGTTTCACCCAGAGCTTGGTGACTGCTGTCGTCGACAATCTCCAGATCTCCATCAAGAATGTCCACTTCCGTTACGAGGATTCGATTGCTTCGCCCTCCCATCCATTTGCCGTCGGTGTGACTCTGAAGGAACTGAGTGCCGTTAGTACCGATTCAGAGTGGAACCCTACCTTTATTCAGTCCAGTTCCGGCACAACCCACAAGTTGGCCATCTTGGGCGCTCTGGCCGTGTACTGGAACACCGATGCAGAACTTCTGGGTACGGGACGCGGTTCCGACGTGGGCGCCGAAGCTCAAGGAATTGAGCATGCAGAATTGCTTGAGAAGCTTAGGGCTGGCATCGATAATCAAGACAGCGCTCAGTTCATGCTCCGTCCTGTCAGTGGGCGTGCGGGCTTGGAGCTGGACAAATCGGGCAAGCATGACAGACCATCCCTCAAGGCGAGGCTTTTGTTCGATGAGCTGAGCTTTGTCCTCGATGACAATCAGTACCGTGATGCTTTGATGCTTGTGGATCTGTTCCATTACTTCATTCGCCATCAAGAATACAAGAAGCTTCAGCCCAAATGTCGACCCAAGGAGGACCCCAGGGCATGGTTGAGATTCGCCGGAGAGGCCGTGCTCAGCAAAATCCATGATCGCAACAGGCGCTGGACCTGGGAATACCAGAAAGAGCGAAGAGATGATCGCGTAACGTATATAGATCTGTTCAAGAAACAGAAGCGGGAAGGAACACTCACCGGACCAGATGCGGAGAAATTTGACCAGCTTCAGAGGAAGTTGAGCTACGAAGATATCCGCTTCTGGCGGTCACTGGCACGAAACCAACTGCGGAAGGAGAACATCGGCGTTAAGAAACCGGCGCAACAGCAGACCTGGGGTGAATGGTTTTGGGGCACAAAGAAAGAACAGTCGGAGGAGACCGCAATGACTGAAGAACAACGACAGGAGCTGTATAATGCAATCGACTGGGACGAGAAGAAGGCGATCGCGGAAAGTGTCGATGTCCCGAGAGAATGGGTCAAGCTCCAGGTCAATGCCGGCTTGAAGGCTGGTAGCTTTACACTGAAACGGGATCCTCACGGGAGGGCAGATGAAGTCATGAGACTGGTGTTTGACAACTTCCGAGCTAAAGCTCTGCAAAGGCCTGACTCGTTCTTCATTGATGTCAACCTTGGTGGATTGAGAGTGTACGACGGCACGACCCCAGGAAGCCTCTTTCCGCAGATCGTCAAGGTCAAAGACTCTCTCCCCGAACCCAAACACCGCCTGTCCCAAGCGTCGGGTGATGAAGAATTAGACTCCGAAGCAGATGATGACATTTCTGCATATCAAGACAGCTTGTTCCATTTGCAGCTTGAGCAGAACCCTCTCGAAAGCGACGCAGACTCAGTTGTCAAGGTCAAGATGAAGAGTATCGAAGTCATCTACAATCCTACATTCGTCGTTGAGATTGCCAGATTCTTTGAGCCACCGGAGCGACATATGGAGTCTATTGGGGCTCTTCTGGACACTGCGGGTGCTACCGTTGAAGGCATCCGGCAGCAAACGCGAGCAGGTCTGGAATATGCCCTGGAAGAGCACAAGAAGGTAGATGCACAGTTCGACATCCACGCGCCCCTGATCATCGTTCCTGAGAGTATCACAAAAGAAAGCTCTCTTTGTCTGATTCTGGACGCTGGTCACATTAGTGTCAACAGCGAATTGGTTGACAGACAGACTATGAAAGACCTTCAATCAAAACAGAAGCGACAATATGAGGAGGGCGATTACAAGGAACTCGAGCATCTACTCTATGACCGGTTCCTACTGAAACTCGACTCAACCCAAGTCCTTATTGGTCCCGGCATTGAGATCACAAAGTCACAACTTAGCTCTGATGTCGAGTCGCGCAATCTGCATATCATTGACCGCATTAGTGTTGATTTCGTTCTGGAGATGTGCATTGTTCCCAAGGTCACTGAACTCACGAGGACTCGTATATCCGGTCACCTCCCCGAGCTACATGCTTCCATGTCTGACAAGAAATACAAGGGTCTGATGAAACTCATTGACATTGCTATTCCACGCTTTAATGATGGTGGCGACTCAAAGAGGACGGAAGGCCAAGCGAAAGAGGCGCCTGCGACTGCCACCAGAGCTAGATCGGCTTCTTTCCAGCCATCTAATCTCAGAGAGCTGCCTGTTGTTGACGAGACAGATGACGAGTCGGATGATGAAAGCATGCAGAAGAGCATTGACAAGCCTATGAACATTCATCGTCGCGATTTTGAATTCAAATTCACGGTGGGTTGTTTGCGAGGCTCATTGTTCCGCTCCGACCCGAATGATCAATTACGCGACCACCTGCTCGTTGAATTGGTCGCCGAAGGCTTTGCTTTAGACTTCTACATGCGACCTTTCGACATGGTTGCGGAGGTCGTGCTAAAGTCCTTGAGTGTGGATGACTACATCGAAGAGAATCCAGTCCCGGAGTTCAAGAGAATCATATCGTCTAAAGGCTTTGATGCTGACGAGAACAAAGATCTCTTCCATCTCAAGTTTGTCAAAGTCAACCCGGATTCTCCTGAATTCCATTCCACGTACGAAGGTGTCGCAATGAATCTTGATACATCGGTATCTACCATCAATCTCGTCGTTACTAGGAAGACACTCCTGACACTTTTGGACTTTATCCTACTCACATTCACGAGCCCGGACCAAGCAAACAACCAGGTAACTCAGACAGATGACAGTAATCAAGAGCTCGCGGCCGCGAATGAACAAAATCAACAGACTGGCAAAATTCGCATTAAAGCCAACATGAAGAGTATCGCCCTCATCCTCAACAACGATGGCCTCAGACTTGCTACGCTCAGCCTGAACACTGCCGATGTCGGTATTAACCTCGTGAGCGGCTCGATGCTGATTCAATCGCGTATCGGAAGCCTGACCCTTATTGACGACGTCAATACTGGTGCATCAGAAAGCTCAGATCTCCGCAGGCTCCTCACCATTGAGGGTGACAACTTCGCAGACTTCAAGTATGAGACCTTCGATCCAGAAAGTGCGGACTATCCCGGGTATGACTCGGAAGTTTTCCTGAGGTCAGGGTCAATGAAGATCAATTTTGTAGAAGAGCCCTATCGCAAAATCATCAACTTCCTCGTGAAGTTCGGAAAAATGCAGGCCATTTTCAATGCGGCCCGACAGGCTGCGGCGAACCAGGCCAACCAACTTCAAGAGAACGCTTCCCGGATGCGATTTGATGTTGTGGTAATGACGCCCATCCTGGTCTTCCCGAGCTCGATGACAGAGGGTGGTGTGCATGATACAATCACTGCCCACTTGGGTGAAATATACGCCAAAAACACCTTTGTTCCTCTGGACGAAGCCAAGGACAGTTCTGCTGTAAATCTGATCTCTTCTGGTGTGCGAAATATCCGTTTGACATCCAAGTTCCATTATGGTGAGGATACTGTAGAGGAGCTTGAGATGATCCAGAAAGTGAATCTTGATTTCAGTATTTGCTATCTTGAGCACCAACATGATAACCCGCGTCCAGATATTGAGATCGAAGGGTCTATGTCACCGATCAATCTCCGGATCTCGCAGAAGCAGTTCAAGTTCTTGTTGGACCTTTCGAAGACGGTCCCGAGTGCCTTCGCTACTGACAGCGAACAACAAGAGCTGGAGGCCTTGGAAGCACTTCCTTCGTCAGTAACAGAGTCCTCTAGAGAGGCCGAGTCCGAACGGATTGAGCGAAGCCTTTCGCGAGAGCGACTGTCCCAGGAAGACGTTAAACATGAAACCTGGGTCCGATTGGATATGGTCTTCAAGGTGGACAGTGTCGGATTAGAGCTTATTCTGGCCGCCGATGATGCGCCAGTCGGCCGCTTGGAGGATTCTAGCCTATCCAAGTTCTCACTCAACGACACCAAAGTCAAATTGCGTATGCTGACGGATGGATCCTTGGAGTCGGAGCTCTTAATCCACTCTCTCTCTATCCGGGACAGTCGCAACCAGGACACGAACAAGTTCAGAAAGATCATGTCCTTGATCAATAACGATGTTCAGCAGCAGTTCATGGCCAGCGTCTCAATGTCACCAGGCCCGAAGAAGCACTTGATCGCCATGCTTACCATCGACAGCCCGCGAATTATCCTGGCTTTGGACTACCTGTCTGCTCTGCAGTCGTTCGCAAACTCAGCTTTCGCCTCCGAAGAACCAGTGGTTGAAGAGGAGAGCGATGATATTCCTGAGGAATCAGAGCCCAGAACCAGCACCGCCGAAAGTGACGACGCATCTGTTAATGCCTTGTCAACTGAAGATGCGCCACCTGCTGCTTCTGCAGAACAGATGACCGTCTCTTTCAGGGTGAACCTCGTTGATGCGCAGGTGATCACGATTGCGAATCCCGCTATCGCACACACCGAAGCTATTGTCCTGGGAACTAAACAGCTACTCTTCTCTCACCAGAACGTTTCGACGCTGCAGATTAGTAAAGTGGGCATGTTCCTATGTCGCATGGACAAGTTCGAAACGAGTAGGCTTCGGATTCTGGACGATTTCACCCTAGAGGTGTCCGTGGACAGTCGTGCGCAAGAAAAGGGCTCTTCGCTTACCTCCATCAATGCTCATATAGAACCTTTGGTTTTGCGCCTTTCACTCCGTGACATTCTGATGGCAACACAGATTGTCAACAAGGCTTCTGAGATGAGGGCTCAAAGGATGCAACCGGTTGAGACCGGCGAAGTGAAGAGCATACCTGAGGCGAAGAGCATCAGGCCCAAATCTTCGAGGCGGCAATCTTCCGGCAGACCAACTTCATCCGCCATGGTCTCAAGAAATCGACGTCGATCGAGTGCGGCAGCAGATCAGCCGCGAAGAGCCTCAAGCCCTGGACGCTCAGCAATTCTCAAACGCGAAGAGCTGAATGCTCAAGTCGACGGGCTCAGAGTCATTCTTATTGGCGATCTCCATGACCTTCCATTGCTCGATTGGAGTGTTAAGAAGTTTAATGTTGATGTCCGCGACTGGTCCACAACACTGAATGCCGATACGAGCTTTGACACCTTCGTCAACGTGTACAACTTCTCGAAATCTGCATGGGAGCCTCTGATTGAACCATGGCAGTTGGGATTCCACGTGGCTAGGGAGATCAATCCCGAGATCTTCTCGATAGACGCATATTCTCATAAAACGATGGAGCTCACTCTTACATCTGCCACCATTGCTTTGGCATCGAAGTCATTCCAGTTCCTTTCCACGGACGAGGATGTTCTTTCAAAGCCGAGAGGTGCTGATGCACCCTACCGGATCCGCAACCATACTGGTTTCGATCTACATGTCTGGGCTGATATCGGTGCGGATGAGGATGGACCGGCTGCTAGATTGGCTGACGGTGAGGAGTACCCTTGGCGTTTCGAGGACTCGACTTCCATGCGTGAGACGCTTGCACCTGAGGGGCATGCCGGGCTTGTTGGCATCAAGCTCGAGGGAAGTGGATTTGAAAGCGTGAACCGGATCCCGGTTGTTAGGGAAGGTGAAATCCTCTACAGCCTGAAACCCAAGAAGGATGGTGTCCTTCATCGACTCCTAGTGGAGGTCAAGTTAGGCACTGACAATGTGAAGTATATCACCTTCCGCTCGCCGCTGGTTGTCGAAAACAGCACGCAGATCCCTGTGGAGCTGGGCGTCTTCAATCCCCAGGAAGGCCATTTGCTCAAGATTGAGAAAATCCTTCCTGGAGAGTCGCGACCTGCACCGGTCGGAGCAGCTTACATGCATTCTCTTGTGATCCGCCCCGATCAAGGGTTCGGATACGACTGGTCAAATGAGCAGCTCCACTGGAAAGACCTACTACGTCGTCCGACTCGGACTATCAAGTGCCTGAGTGAAGGTGGGCAGCAGTCGCCACCCTTCTATTTCCAGATGCACGCTAGCTACAATGATCGGGACTCTCTCACGGGCGTCTATCCTTATATGAGGATCAAGATCTTCGCGCCTGTCGAGATTCAGAACCTTCTTCCTTACGATTTCAAGTATCGCATTTACGACAAGAACACAAGAAAGGACTGGACGAATTTCCTGCGCAAGGGTGGGGTTAGCCCTGTTCATGTCGTTGAGCTCTCTCACCTATTGCTACTCAGCGTTGACCTGGAGGATACGGTGTTCAAGCAAAGTGACTTTGCTATCATCAATGGCAACTCTCAAGACTTCAAGAGGGAGCATACCCTGTCTCTGAAGGATGAGCGAGGTATCCAGCTGAGATTGAAACTCCACTATTTCAGAGTTCCCGACAGTGGTGGTGCCTTCAAGGTCTCTGTCTACAGCCCGTACCTCATCTTGAACAAGACCGGTTTGCCCATGGAGATCCAGAGCAAGGCTTTTCTGCAATCGGCCCGATCGGCTGCTGGGCAAGGATTGAGGGCCGATTCTAGGAATGGCGGACGTACGCTCCCATACATGTATTCCTACCATACGGATGATCAGAAGAACCGATCTATTCTGAGAATAGGTGACTCCGCGTGGAGTAAGCCCCAGAGTTTTGAGGCCATTGGAAGCACGTTTGAGGTCATTCTCCCGGATCAACATGGCAAATCCGAATTCCATTCTGGGGTTTCTGTCGCTGAGGGTGAAGGCAAATACAAGATGACCAAAGTCGTGACAATTGCACCCCGGTTTGTTCTGAAGAACAAGCTGAGTGAAGATATTTTGGTCCGTGAGCCTGGCTCGTCGAGCGTTCTCAATCTCAAGAGTGGCGAGCTTGTACCTCTCCATTTCTTGCGCCAAGTTGCGGAGAAACAGCTCTGCCTGTGCTTCCCGGGCGTTAATGACCAGTGGTCCTCTCCTTTCAACATCGCGGACATTGGAACGGTGCATGTCAAACTGGCAAAAGCCCAACAGCGTCAGAAACTCATCAAAGTCGACGTGGTCATGGAAGGTGCAACGCTCTTCATCCATTTCAGCTTTGAGACTCGGAACTGGCCATTCTCTATGCGGAATGAGAGCGACATGGAATTCATCTTCTATCAAGCTGTGAGTACTTTGGATTGTTATTCAAAAAGGTCATCTGCTAACTAAGCTGAAGAATCCGAACGTCGAAGAAGACGAGGAAGACAGAACGAATGGCTGGCGACCGATCCGTTACCGACTCCCTCCGCGCAGTATCATGCCTTACGCCTGGGACTATCCGGCAACCAAGAACAAGTCTCTCGTACTGACGTGCAAGGGCAAAGAAAGGCATATTAGGCTTGCGGAGATTGGTAACCTGATCCCCATGAGAATCCCGCCCACTCAATATGGTGAGACTCAGAAGATTATCGATATCAACATCGTTGCCGACGGCCCAACTCAGACTTTGATGTTGTCCAACTTCAAGCAGTCTAAGAGTATGTACAAGCAGAAAGACAGGGGACAGGCATCCCAGAGCAGTTTGAGCACCGGCTTTGAGGTCAAGGAACTTGATTCGGATGTCAACTTCAAGGCCCAACTTCGCCTGGGAGGAATCGGCATCTCTCTCATCAACCAGAACCTCAAGGAATTGCTGTATCTGACGTTCCGCGAAATCGACATCAAGTTCCGGGAGTCAAGAATCTACCAGACCTTGAATACCACCATCAAATGGATCCAGATCGACAACCAATTGTATGGTGGTATTTTCCCAATCTTGCTCTACCCTAGTGTGGTCCCCAAGACCGGCAAGGAAATGGAGGCACACCCGATCTTCCACACAATGGTGACTCGTGTGAAGGATGACTCTTATGGTGTACTTTATATCAAGTATGCCACGGTTCTCGTGCAGCAGATGACACTGGAGCTTGACGAGGACTTCATCTTTGCGATGTTGGACTTCGTTAAGGTACCCGGTGCTTCGTGGTCGGAAGAACATGAGGGCAAGCTCTGTGATGAGGATTTGAATATCCCAGAACCGCAAACGGAAGGCACTGTTTCAGACGTGTACTTCGAGCTCCTCCACCTGCAGCCAATGCAACTCGATATCTCCTTCATGCGTACTGAGTGCGTGAATGCGGAGGACACCATGCAGCCATCCAATCCTCTGATGTTCTTTGTGCATGTCATGACTATGTCGATGGGCAATGTGAACGACGCACCAATCCGACTCAACGCGCTTATGCTAGAAAATGCCCGTGTCTCTCTCGGGGTTCTTGTCAGTAATATCCAGAGTCACTACACCCAGGAGTTCTTACGACAGGTGCACGTGGTTCTGGGGTCAGCTGATTTCTTGGGCAATCCCGTCGGATTATTCAACAACGTCAGCTCTGGAGTGGCTGCCATCTTCTACGAGCCTTACCAGGGTCTTGTTATGACCGATCGACCTCAAGAGCTGGGCATTGGCATCGCGAAGGGTGCGACCAGCTTTGTGAAGAAGTCTGTCTTTGGTTTCTCTGACAGCATGGCCAAGCTCACCGGAAGTATGTCCAAGGGTCTAGCTGCCGCCACCCTAGACAAAGAGTTCCAAGATCAGCGACGAATGTCCAAGTCGCGAAACCGACCAAAACACGCTCTGTATGGTATTACTGCTGGTGGCAATGCCTTCGCAACGAGTCTGGCAAGCGGCATCGGAGGACTCGCACGCCACCCTCTCCAGGGTGCCGAAAAGGAAGGCATCCAAGGTTTCTTCAAGGGTGTCGGAAAGGGTGTTCTCGGCCTAGCCACGAAACCCGCCATCGGCGCCTTTGATCTTGCATCAAGTATGTATGCCCATCAGTTAGACATGTGTTGATACTAACATGCGTGTAGACCTTGCCGAGGGTGTCCGTAACACCACCACCGTTTTCGACGCGGAAGGCCTTGATCGTGTTCGCCTCACACGCTTCATTGGCACCGACGGCATCGTCCGGCCGTACTCGCAACGCGAAGCGCTTGGGCAGTTCTGGCTCAAGACGGCCGATGACGGCAAGTTCTTCAACGAGGACTACATCGCGCACCTTGAGCTTCCGGGTCGAGACATGCTGGTCATGTTGACCTACGACCGGATCATCCTCGTGCGCACGAAGAAGCTCCGCACGGAATGGGATATGCGCCTGAAGGATATCCAGACCATTTCCAAAGAGCGAACTGGAATGAGCATCACTCTCAAGGGCGGTGCTAATGGTCCATTCATCCCGGTGCAGGACGAGAGTTCGCGGAACTGGCTCTATCGGCAAATTGCTGTTGGTAAGTGATGATTTGAGGTGTGTTTGCTACGTACAGGGCTGATTCGGATCTAGCTGTGAACGCTTTCAATGAGAAGTATAATGCCCGTGGGTAGACTCGACTGGCTATGAGAGCCCACTAGGTTAATTGTAATGGAGGACAGAAGCTGTGTGTTGGAGACCGATAATTACCTGTTTTATGGTGGGGCAGAGTGGATACGATTTGCTCCAAGCTGGATCTCATCTTAGTCGAGAGCTTTTGGAGTAGTGAAGCCAGCGATATGACCCTGCAATCCAAGTCTGAAATGGATGACCTGTTGATGTTTTGTTTTTTCTGCTCTTGCAATTAAAGCGACTGTACATATTCATATTCTTCTTCTTTTTCTTTTTTTCCCGTATTTTTCACGTTGGCTTGACTGAGACTTTTCCTTTGACCCTGCGCTAGTTGCAAGCTCTTTTTGATGCATCTTTCTTTACGAGCGGTATTGAATTGATGATCCCTGCCCTACCGATTAGGAAGGTAGATTGAAAGAGCAGAAACTCAGGCTAGCTTCATGTTACCTTCATGTTACCATCGATAGAAACTCTGTGCTGTGGATCCTCTACTCCACCGTGGTGAACGTTTTAGCTATCAAAAACACAATCTCCACCGACAAGTCGATAAGACAGTTCTCGTCAAAAGTTACCTCAATTGGTTAAGATTTTCCAGGATGACCTGGGATACGAAGCTGTGATTTTGGTAGCGAGCCAGCAGGCTAGAGATGGATCCATCTAGAGATCTAGACTGGTATATGACAGGTACGTCCACTGATACTTGGCCGTCATATACTTCCGGTGTTTCTTACCAGTACCATGCATGTCGTACGAGGTTCAGCCTTGTCTGACGGTAAGTGATTGATGGACTGACTGACTGACTGGCTGACTTGACTTGATACAGACTTCCCCTGGACATGCTAACACCTGCACCATACCATGCAGTCACAGCGTCTTTGATGGAGGATGGCGACAGCAACCATCTTTCACCGCAGACATTTCTCGCTGTTCTTCCTTTGGGTCTGGTAAGTTCTGGGAGGGGCACCGGGACTCCCTGACCAACTTCATCTCCGATGCTGAAAAGCTGCTAACCCGTCGTGGCTGGACCTTTCCAGTTTCGTGCGTCTGGCAGGCCTCTACTTCTTCACCAAAGGTTTTCTGCTGACTCGCCAGATCCTGGAGGCCAGAAGCACCTGCGATGAGCCTCCGAGAGCTCTCTGGCCTCCCGCCCATGGAGATGTTGGTGGTTGTTGGCTCCGGCCAACCTTCAAGAAAGCTGTCATTCTGATCATTGACGCGCTGCGCTACGACTTCACCATCCCCTACTCTCCTTCCATCCAAGCAGCCGAAGAAAAGCCATACCATAGTGCCCTCACCGTCCTGCACACCCTCGCAAGCGAGAGACCGCGCAACGCCCTCCTCATCCCCTTTCTTGCTGACCCCCCGACCACCACCCTCCAACGCCTCAAAGCTCTGACCACAGGCACTCTCCCGACCTTCATTGAAGCCGGCTCCAACTTCGCTGGTTCTGCCCTCACTGAAGACAACCTTCTCGACCAGCTCCTCTCGTTTCCCTCATCTTCCTCTTCCTCATCCAGTACCGCGCAAACCAAGTCACACTCCGATCACAATCCTAAGCAACGGCGCCTCGTCCACCTCGGCGACGACACCTGGCTCAAACTCTACCCGGACCATTTCCTCCCACACCTCTCTCACCCTTTCCCCTCCTTCGTCGTCGAAGACCTCCACACCGTCGACACCGGCGTCACCACCCACCTCATTCCCCTCCTGCGCAATGACACCCTCCGCTGCGAATGGGACGTGATCATCGGCCACTTTCTGGGGGTCGACCACGTCGGCCACCGATTCGGGGCCGCGCATCCGCTCATGCGGGATAAACTTCAGCAGATGGATGCGGTGGTGCGCGAGGTGGTGACGGCTCTAGACCATGCTGACGAGGAGACACTTCTAGTCGTCATGGGGGATCACGGGATGGATGAAAATGGGAATCATGGCGGGGAGACACTGGAGGAGGTTCTAGCTGCTGTGTGGTTATATTCACCTCGGACGTTTGTGGGGAGAAGGGTCAGTGGTGGTGGTGATGAACATCATTACAATGGTGAGGAGGGAGCAGCGGTGCCCCAGGTGGATATCGTTTCGACGCTGGCGCTGCTGCTTGGAGTGCCGATTCCGTTCAATAACCTTGGGAGGCCTATTGAAGAGGTGTTTGCTTTCGGCTCGGGAGGATGCGATAAACAGGAAGAGGAGATAGACTGGGAACGGTTGGTGAGGGCGAATGCGCTAGCTGCTGCACAGATGGAGCGGTTTCATGCCGAGTATACGAGGCTTTATGGGAGTCATAAGGGCGGTGTTGAGGTCCGCCTTGGAGATGTTGTTCAGGGCGATATAGATTTCGGGGATGAGGACTCCTTGCAGCGGGCTTATAGGGGGCTGAGGGTATATCAGGCGGAGATGTTAAAGGGCTACCGACGGGTTTGGGCGCAGTTCAACGTCGTGAATATGCTCGAGGGGGTGGCGATTCTGCTGCTGTGTGTTGTTGCAATGGTCTGCGCTCTCGTTGATGGGTCTTGCTTCGATGGGCCGGGAATCAAGTCGAAGGCGACAATGGCTGGGAGCGTGGTGGGTGTTTTGGCTGCAGCGGCTCACTTCGTCTATGCAGACCCTGCATATCACGTCTTCGAGAGTCTCATCTTAGGCGCTACCATAGCCAGTCTGACCGGTTTGATCGCAGGGGCTGACTGCAATGCTGTGCGCCGGGGCTGGCAGCCCGGATTCAGCATTGGGAAGTTGCAGGCCACGTTGTTTCCGCTGGCTCTCGCGGCTGGCTTTGCGTCGAACTCGTACACCATCTGGGAAGATGAGATCCTGCTGTTCTTTCTCTCCAGCTTTGGCATCTGCACATTGGCCTCGGCCACCCACCCAACCTCTTCCGTTGCGTTTCTGCTACTAACCCGCCTCGCCTCCTATAGCCGCCTGTGTCGAGAAGAACAACTACCCTCGTGCCGGACCACCTTCTACCAACTCGAGAACTATATCCCCTGGCGTATTCTCGCCCCATTCCTGACCGTCCTCGTTATACTTTCTGCATCCAAGGACTTGAGAAACAGATTCAAGCACACTTGGAACACTCTCTACATTACTGCACTCTTTCTCCACATTCCGTTCTGGACACTTCAGACAGCCAGCGAGCAGGGCTGGCTGCCCAACATCATCACAGACTACACCTCCAAGACTATATGCATAGTAATCGCTCGAATCGTGCTGCTCGTCAGCTCATGTGGGCTCGGATCCGTCTTGCTGTCCGCTCATCACCATGACAAATCATACATTCTCACCGCAGCCATCTTGCTAGTATGTATCCTGGTGAGTCCCCCCACCAGCGGTGTTCTGCTTGCATGCCTCTACTCCCAACTCCTCCTGCTCCCACGCACTACAAGCCACCGAGTCGTCGGACCCACCATCGCCGCTCTCCTGGGCTCATTCTACTTCTTCACGACCGGCCACAACGCCACCTTTGCCTCCATTCAGTGGAAAGCCGCGTACACTGGCTTTCGGGACGTGGTGTATCCGTGGTCCCCACTGCTGGTCGGGATGAATACGTTCGCGGGGCCGATTCTGGCGGCGTGCGCTGTTCCGTTCTTCTTCACCCCTTTTGGCGCGTCTCCTTCGCGAGAGAGCACGGCAGCCCGCGCCCAGATGATCCTCGCACATGGTACTGTTTACACCCTCTGGGCCGCCGCCACGGCCATCTGGGCGTGTCTTCTCCGACGGCATCTGATGTTGTTCGCCATCTTTTGCCCGCGGTTCCTACTGGCGGGCGTAGTGATGGTAATTGTGGATGTGATTGGGTTAGTGAACTCGTTTGTAATGTAGATTGCCAGTAGTCAGCTTAAGAAAGGGCTCAACTAGAGAGGTGATTGCGCAATTTCTCTTGTGGTAGGTTAGATATATATAATGAATGACAGTAGTTGGATATTCCAGGATCCTTCAGTTGACGTCAACAATAATAGAAGCTCTGTCCCCCATGACTTCCACACCAGCCACAACCTCCCCTGCGGTGTTCCAGTGAGACGTTCTCCTCCGAACCTCCGCCTCGACCCTCACCCCCAATCTTCTCCCTCCCTCCCAGCAAGCGGCACCGCAATCACTGGCAGTAATGCACCCAACAAGCCTAGTCATAAAACCCCCGCAGCCACCACAAGGGGTGGTACTCGTGGGAGAAATCATCAGCAAATCTTCCACCCTTATAACACCTTTCCCCCGTCCCCGTCCCCGTCCCCGTCCCTCTTCCCCTCCCCCCACACCCCAAACCCAACCCTCAAACAACCCCGGGTGAAAGAAGAGAACATACATGATAACACCGCTGCCCCCCATGATTCCGATGACAATTGTTCATGCACTGGTCATACCCGCGCCGACACCACTGGGTGTTGGCCTCGTCCGCGGGTGCCGGGGCGGACACGTCGTCCACCACCGCCGCTGCATCAGCGGTATCAGCTTCGGCGTCGGCGTCGGCGTCGGCGGTTGGCGCCGCGAGCGCCAGCGAGGTCAGCAGGAGGGTGAGGGGGATGATGAACCGCATTCTGATCTTTTCTCGGGTCTCGGGTCTTCCTTGAAAAGATACAGCTAAGGGACTTGGGGGTTGTTCCTGTTGTTTGGTTTCTGGGGCTCGATGGAGAGGTAGGTGAGAGGGAGTGGTGCTGGTGCTGGTGCTGGTGGTATTTATGTTGTTGCTTTGTGTAGCTCTCGCTTTCGCTGTCTTGGATTTCGGTGGTTATTGTGGATGGGTAATGGACGGAGATGGTACGACACGTTCGTTGATGGCTCGTCCATTGCCATTTTCCACCGAGTCGCGCGTGTCTTCTGACCTGACCTTTGGTGGTGATGCGGTGCTGAGGGATGAGGGATACGTTCCGATGGTGATACAGTTCTCAGGTCATCTTTGGAATTCTGTCTTCTCTGTCTGCGGCGGAGAGGGAGAAGGGGAGAGAGAAGTGGCATGGGTACTGGGTGGATATGGTGTTTCTATGTCGGGGTTGGTGGAGTGGTAACGTTTGACTTTGTGGGGGCCGTTTGGGTGCGGTGGTTTTGTGCGATGGTGATGGGATTTATGAAACTTTGGAGATGGGCTCCGGTGGATATTAGCTGGATAGGTACGGGACAATATGTTGATGGGCTGGTAGGGTTAGTGGGTGGTTGATATTGAATGCTTGTGAGGAGGACAAGGGCTAAGGGTAAGCTTACTTCCTTTGCGTGGTGCTTGGGGCTGTAGTCCTGTGGATTTGTTGTTGTTGTTTTCGATATCGATGATAGATATGATTGATCTGAAGAAGGTCTAGGAGATACTTAGACCCCGCGATCCAGAGACAGGGCAATTCAGGGAGAGGAAAGTTACAGTATCTATATCTACATCTAAGTTCATCTCTTGGTATCAACATCGTCCTTATGGGTATGGGAAGAGTCCACACCTACAGTCCAGCGACAACCAACACCACCACCATCAACCCACTACAAAGACTCGGAAGATATCCACCACAACCCCCGCCATCCCATCAATGATCTCGAGATCAAACTTCAAACGCCCGAACCATGAGGCTCGTGGAACAATCCTGCAGAAAACTCCCCTCACCACCACCGTCTCTTAAGGCCCAGGGCCCAGGGCCCAGGGGTTCTTTTCTGCGTGATTCGACAACTTCTACCCCAGGGTCTGCGTAACCCCAGAATCATCCGTCCGCCCCCTTTGTGCAACAGTAAGCGGGAGTGAGATGCCGGAAGGGGAGCCACCATCACCATCCTCTAGTGAGGAAGTCAGGAGACCGTAGGTAGTTCTTGAACCTTCACGCAAAGTCAATGTCAATGTCAAGGGTCGTCTTGAGTGTAGTATAGTGTTCACTTACCACTCGGTTCGAATTGAGTTCCTCCTAGCTGGGTGATATTCTTTGTGCATTCGGATCTCGTGGGGTATAGTATACTACTTACTGTACTTCAGGAGAAAGTAGCGCATGTCCCCTCAAGCCATCACTAACCTCTGTAAACTCAGTCCCTTGGGGCATTCCAATTGGGAAAATGGTGACCCTTGTTCTCCGCGGAGAAAGACGAACTTTGAGTTAAGATGGCTGCGCAATAGAGTGAATTCAGTGGCGGGATGTGAAAGTAAGAATACGCAAACGCCAAAGTCCAGGTCTAGAGTCACAAAAAGGGTCAAGTTCAAATCGAGCTGAAAATGATGGATCAGAAGAGGCGCGCGGGGGCGGGCGTTGTGGGCGTTGTGGGCGTCATCCCTGGGGCTTTTGGCCTTTTGCCTTTTTGGGAGGAAGTATGTACAGTACTGTACTTTAGGGCAGTCGCTGTTGGAATTGTTGTTGATGGCTGCTCTGTTGGTGGTGAGGGTGGATGGTCGATTTAGGGGTGCGCCGGAAGCAACAGATTCGAGTATTTGATTGTATTGTGAATCCGCAGTAGGATCTGAAACTCTTTCCCTGTCTTTTAGTTCACACTGTATTGTTTCTACACGCAGCAGTGATTACTGAGTATTTGGCAACAGGGTTGCGACTGAACACGGGGAAACGGTACATTGGGAGATGCTTTAGAGGTACTCGATACATGCTGAGCACAAGAAAGAGGCAGAGACAGACAGATTCAATCGTCACACAACAGCTGTTCGCAGAGCAATTCACCCAGTCGTGCTGCTGCTGCTGCTGCCGATAGACAAGGGGGCAGGCAACAACGGGAATGGTATGATGCATGGTACTTTTCTCTTCCTCGCCCATCGCCATAGCATCGACCATTATTACATCCTGTACGGAGTATGTACATATCAACACCTCAACCCAATTTCCCATCATGATGGTCTTCAGGCAGCTAGCAGCAGCAGCAGCACCATCTTCTCCGATCGCCTCGATGGGATTAGGCAAACATGATCATAACCATACTGCGACAGGAGGATACTGTGTGATCGGAGGTCTCCAATCTGATTTGCTTATTTTGGGGCTGGGATGGTTAAGGCGGGGAAACCGAAGGAGGAGTATAGTATACAGTACAAGCCCCTGTGAGATGGATGCATGCACGCACTGTGCAAGGATGGCGGCGGATATGAGTGAGACATTGACATGCGACATGTAACATCTCCATCTCCATCGCCATGTACAGATAGACGACGGGGGTAGTCCGCACCTGAACTATCAGAAGAGTTGGTAGATAGTAGTCACCCAGTAAATTAATTCCCATCTTGTCTCTGACCACAGCCCCGATTCTTTCCAAGCGAGGCGGGAAGTCAGAACAGGCGGGCTGTACCGGAGTCAACAACCACCTTCAACCCACAAACATCTGCAACGCGACCCCCTTCTTATCACTTCATCACATCTCCTTTGCCTTTGCCTTTGCCTTGTCCTTCCCCTTCTCCCCGGCAAACTCCAATGATATAGCTCTGCCGTGCCGGAGCAATACACGAACTGCGGAAGACTATGGAGGCCTAGGGCGATTACCTTTGGCTCGTATATCTCGATCGGGAAGGCTTGGGCCGAGGCTACACCACTCCTACTCTCGTTGCCTGATTATCACAACACAGCTCCATGGCGGCCTGCGGACACCAGGAGGGTAGAAAAGGATGATGGGACAGCAAACACGGGATGAAAATAGATACGTGAGACGGAGGAGAAGGAAGCTTGATATTGGCGAGGGTCCATGGTAATCGATAGCGACGGAACGCCTTCTATTGACAACACTCTGCGGCAAACAACACTTGAAAAGTCTGGGCCTGTGTGATAGTGAATCAGCTGGCACCGCAATCAATATGTGGTACGGGTATTGGTAGGTAGGTATCGTTTGTACTTAGCAGACGTCGTCTGCTCGACAAACTCCATTGTGAATATGGAAGACTGTTCGTAACTAGGTACTGTAGTTCGAAATTGGAATCTGAACTGGAGGGAGATGAGAGATGAGAAGTCCAAAACGGCTAGCTTGGCACTTCGACTGACATATGCGTCATGTTATTCGGGATCACATGGCGACACTGACAGACTGACAAGTGACAACCGATCTGACAGCCTCGAGAATTTAGTGGAATCCTTAGGCCTCAGAACAGGGCATAAGGCATCAACAGCTTCACTTACAGAGTGAGCTAGTTCGAACAGCTCCCGATTCCCAACCATGACGAAGAGATTAGCTGTCTCACGAAGTGGAGAAGGAGGGAAAAACCACCACCATCATCATCGCATCTGCGCCGCATCGCATCGCTCATCGCCCGATGCGATACCCATCGGCTATTCCATCCGTCCACTGTTTCAATTTCCCCGCATCCGTCCATCCATCCTTCCCCCCCCTCCCTTCCACAGACGCAACCAAAAATTCCCAGACCAATTCGTAACAACAGGTTAGAACACGAGTGGCAGTCGGCTGCAAATACCAAGAACTTTCCACGTAACTCCCCGAGGCATTGGTCAAGTTTACCGGACCATCTTATTTACAACTAACTTGGAAGTCAAGCTAGCCTTCTAGGCCCAGTCACCCAGACTAACTCCCTCCCTCCCCTCTTTCTCTCGCTCTATCGATTTTCATCAACACGATCCTGGAGTCTAGATGTGTCCCGACACGATCCAAGTTCTTTGCCCCAGGAAAAATACGAACCGTGGAGGACTCCAGAGAATAAAGAGGGTAGGTAGGCCTAGAACCTACACCTATGCAATGGGGTTGACTTGGGTCTATCTGTCACTTTTGTGTTGTTGATACAGGGTTCTAGTTCCCTTCCAGGTTCCAACCGTAGCCAAGGAGAGACCCAAGAGGGGGCCCGGAGGGGGGGGGGGTGGAGAGAGTGACCAGTACAGTACAGCTGCTGTAGCTCAAGTTACGTTACTTATCCCGCAATAAAGCAAGAGTGCAGTGCAGTGCAATAGGGCACACCGCATCACGCTAATGGATGATGGAATTGGCAATTGTTCAATTTGAGGTAGGTGAGGTGCTACAGTTGAGTTGTGGCGGCGGCGGCTGCCCCGGGATGCAAGAGGTGCTGCAAGCCTGCGACTAATTCACTTATCGCATGCCTAGATAGCAGCACCAGCAGTAAAAGAAGGAGGAGGAGGAGGAGGTTAGTTTCATTTAAACATCGGAGAGACGAAGCTAGCCAGTGACGATGGTGGGATTGGCTCAATTAACTAACTGACTTGCATCCTCTGGCCAACTAGCTAGAGTATCCGTACAGTCCAGCGACTAAGAACAATCCCTGCCATTAGCATAGGCATCGCATCATCGTCATCATTCACTTCACCCGTAAACTCTGGAGAACGATGTACTGTGTACTCAGTGTAATTACCTTATGCCATACGCTGCGACAATCCCTCTCTCTACACCCATACTATGTACGATCTCTGATCTTCATTCTTCGGCCCAGAAGACCACATTCAATCAGAACCCACGAATGAAGTGAAGTGAAGTGGAAGTGACCCTAGTCTCGGACCGGCCCTCCTCTCTCCCAAAAACCCCAACCACAACCAAACCACGGGCACCACGGGCACCCTCTCCCCCCTCCCCTCTCGGCCCCCAGACCAACTGTACAAGAAAGGGGTAAAGATCAACCCCCCAAATTGAATCCTGTTTTCTGGTGCGTCGACTCCCACGCGGAAACTACATCCCACTGGTTCAGAAGCATTCTTGCTCCCTGAAATGAAAATCAGGATTTCTCCGCCTACTTGGCTCGAGGTGCTAGACGCCAGACTAGGGTTGGTTTTGGACTAGACTACTAGGTACTCACTCTCCTTTTCGGTCGACAAATCCGTGCACGAATCCGTCCCCGAGGATGATCCTGAAGGACTGGGCCTATGATCTATCGTCCGGACTTAGTTTCCATGGCTGTTCTGATAGGCTCGGGTTTACCCCTACCACTACCACTCGACTGAGATAGATTGATAGACGCCGCGGAAAAGCACGATAGCTAGATAGGGGTAGATAGGTTGTTAATACAGTAGTCTACGGTACAGTAGGTGGTAGCTTCCCCTTGTCAAGAATATCCCTGGTCACTACTGTACAGCACCACCTTGTTTTATGATCCATCTTGGATGGATATCACTTTCGTCTTTCACATGCGATTGATTTTGTTGGGCTTTGCCGCCTTAGTGAGGGTCCTGGAACGTTATTTGATGTCGATGATGGGGGTGGATCAATAGGTTAATCAATGGGTTGGATTTAGTGGATAGGTAGTAGATAGGTGTAGATCGTGAGCCAGATACATAAACGATAGAAACAATAGACAAATCGGAGGCGGGGGTGAGATGTCATGACGGGACGGGGAATGGTGAGAGAGAGCATATTGCATAGTATCTCGGTATAAGGTCCGATCGGGAGAGGCGCTCGCCACGGGTGGGTGTGTTCCCACGATGGGCTTGTGGCGCTGGCTGGCGTTATTGTCCTTCGGTTATTGAAACATGACATCTCTACCAGAATTCCCCGAGGAAGGGGGGGGGGGGGGGGAACATCTGACAACTGACGGGACGGGACCCCAGGCTTAGTGCTGGGCTTCTATACATCGTGGGAAGTTGAACGGTAAGTGGTGTGGTGCGGTGTGGTGTGGTCAAGTCCCAACTAACCAACTGAGTCTGTCGCGGTTGTTGAGGTATATGCGACTACCAAATAAACAAAAAGAAAAAAAGAAAAAAGAAAAAAAAGAAAAAGGGCGGGCGGCATTTTCTTTCTCTCTCTCTCTCCCGAATCGCCGATTTCCCGCATAGCCGTCCTATCTATTTCGCTAGCTACTACTACGGAGGCCCTCCGGACACCATCTGGTGGAGCCCCGAAGCCCGCCAGCCGTTTCAGCATCCCGTCGATCCTTGGCTGACGTGGGTTGCACAGTAGTGACAGTACAGCTGCAGACAGCTACAGACTAACGGCACCGCCGCAGAAAAAGGCTGTGACCACTCAACCAGGGGTATCACCACATCGTGCAGCCTTCGTTGCCTTCTCGGCGCTACACGGCGATTCATACCGTGAACTCATATTACCCCTACCAATTCAAGCTACCGACATCGACCGATCGTCCGAAAGACCTACCTTACCACTGGGCGTCCGTCGTGCGCCGCCTCGTCACCACACTCTAGCTCCAAGGGACAGGCCATGTGGGGAGTTAAGCAATTCTTCCAAAATATGTACATGCAGCCACATTTCCAAATCGGTGGCAATCCTCCTCCTCCTCTCCCACTCCTCTTTCGGCGGCAATTGCTCGCCATCGGGCATCAGGGCAGAAACCAGGCCATGCCGGAAAACAAATGATAACACTCTCAGAGTTCGCAGCAAGGTATCAAGAAAAGAACAAAAGTACGACAGAAGGCCTCCTCAAAGCCCGTGTGACGGCAAACTCCCTCCCATTAAGATCAAACTTGATTTGCAACGATAGGCTAAACTGTAAAATGCTAAGTTACGAGACCAAAGAAAGAGACCAAAAATAGGAACTCGTGACAACAGTCGTGGACGTCTTTGTATGAAGGGTGGAGTGAGCCTGATATCTCGAAAAGCTCGGCAGTCGGTCCTCAACACTATCGATTTTGCCGATTGCAAAGTGATGCACCGGGCTAACCGAAGAAACGAGCATTCACATCATCCAGTGAGCGGCTAGGATTTATTTGAACGACATCCTCTCAGCCAACACCGAGGAACCCCCAGTCAGTTCCCTCAGGCTGGCTCAGAAACCGAGTGTGCTTGTATTCATCATGGTGTGACGCCTGGAAAGTTGCCGTCACAGGGGTAGACTCAACGACTGGGGCCTGAGTGTAGGGCTGCTGGTACTCTGGTTGGATGTATCCATGTCGTGGGTAATCGTAACGCTGCTGTTGCTGCTGGTGCTGCTGGTGCTGCTGTTGCGCGTGTGGGTGCTGCGGGACGTAGTGCATGTATGGCTGCTGTACATGAGGAATGTCAGCCGACAACGTGACCGGCACGCTGGTGGCAACCACCGGGGACTGCTCATGGATAGGCACGGACGTGATCTGTACGTTCTGGTGCGGGTAATAATTGTGGTGCGGCGGCAGCGTGGTCGTGAAGCCGAAGTGCGCCTGTGGAAGAATGTACGGCTCATGCGGCAGAGAGATGGCGACCGGCGGATGATACTCCTGGTCAGAAGCAGGGTCCTCGGATGACGTGCGGCTCGCGGCCGCACCATGTGTTTTCTCATGGTGTTTAGTCAATGTAGTCTTGCGGCAGAAGCTGTCGAAGGTCAGAGGCTAGCTTTCGCGGCATTTATGGTTCGTACGTACCTCCTTTCACAGGTAGGCTCTTGGCAGATATAGGGACGCTTCCCGGTGTGGATCCTTCGATGACGGGCCAGACTCGATGACTAGAATGGTCAGCTTCGATGTCCGGCAAAAGGGAATGATCAGCACCACGCACATCCGAGAAAGCTTTGCCGCATCCTTCATGGTCGCACGAATGGGGCTTTTCGCCAGTATGCGTCCGAACATGTACTGTCAGGGCACTTCGCTGGATGAAACTCTTCTTGCAGTCTTCATGATTGCAGTGGTAAGGTCGCTCGTTGGTGTGGATGCGGTAGTGCCTGCAGAGATCGGATTTGCGGTTGAAGGACTAGGCATGATCGTCAGTATAGTTCGTACACTCGGTTGGCTCAGGTCATGGTTGAATGTGCATGAGCCACAGGCAGAACTAAATAGATACCTTATTGCAGCCTGGCCAAGTGCAATTAAAGTCGCGTCCACTGCCGGGTGCCATGGTCGCTGCAGGACGAATCTTCGCCGCGGCGTGAAGTGTCACGGGAGGTGTGGGCCGCGATAAGTTATGTGACCGCGGCGAGTGATCGACGGGATGACAGGTAGAAGTGAGAAGGAGGTATTAGAGCAGGGTATGGCTAAACATAAACAGCAAGAAACAAGACGGGGTTGGAGACTTTGTGGGTTAGAGAGTTGGGGAGCTTGGAGGGAAGAGCCAAAGATAAAGCAAGTGAGAGAAGAAAAGCGAGGAAGGAGGTTGAGGAGGCGAATATAGCAGGAATGTCGCAGCGAATTAAGTATGAAAGTCTGCAGCGCCGCTAACAATCATTGGCGGCGAAAGGCAAACCAGTCATTTGACAGCCAAGTCGCAGGCTGGATGATGAATCAAATGGGTAAGCGCAGCGAGCAGTCCAGGCCAGCAACCTTTGAGGCTGGACTATAATAAGCAGGAGGAAGAGGAAAAGGAAGAGGAGGTAAAGTAATAGTCCCAGTTGTAGTGGTGGTGGTGGTGGTGGCCGAGTCCAGAGTAGCCGATAATAATAACAATAATAATAGTACGAGCCGTGTCCCTTTCGTATTGGAAACAACGGATCTAATGATAATTATTATCGATGACAACAGCAACCACAGAAGCGATCTCCTTGACAGAGCCCTTCCAAAAAGGCTCTTGGATTTGGACGATGTTGCAACGCGATGGTAGTACAAGGGCAGCTGCTGCAATTCTTAAGTTCTGTTCTCGCCAGGTACAAGCGGACCGGCCCAGGGTGGAGGAGGGAGCGGAGTGGGGATAAGTTGAAAGAGGAGCCCTGGTTGACTGGAGAGAGGCAAAGCCAGACGATAAAAAGGTAGAAGAGAGATCTGAGGTTGGGAGTCAAGAGCAAGAAATACTCTACGTAGAAAGGAGCAGCTCCACGAAGGAAAGGAAAGGAAAGGAGCTGACAGTCTGTCAGTTCCCTACAAGTACAAGCAGAACAACAACATTAGAGAGAGCTTGGCCTAGTAGTAAGTAGTAAGTTAGCATTTAGTTAGTTTAGTTGATTTAGTTAGTAGGAGTAAATTAGTAGTCTGTTTAATATTTTATTTTTCTCCATCTAATTTATTTAGTCTTATTATTATTTCATCTCAGTCGATTTTATTTTTCATCTGTTTCTCTCTCTCCTCCCCCCCCCCTCCCCGTCTGCATTTAATTTAGCTCAGAATTATTATTATCTTTTTTTTCCTTGGGGAAAGAAAAAAGAAAGAAAAAAAAAAAAACTACTCGCGAATTCTCATGTTTCGCCTCCCCATCTCTTCGTTTTCGCCGCGTATTTTAACGCCGCATACCTCACTCACGGTACCTGGAAAGTACCTAGTCACTAGGCCTGTTGATTACATATCCATCGGTTCCCACCAGGGAACCCCAATAAGAACCCCAATGAAAGTAACTTAGAATAGCTAGTAGCTCCGCTGGATCGACTGTTTCTCATACTTCCACCCAAGACTCCAATGAAGAAGATCGGGAGATAGCTTCGAGGGAGGTAGAGAGGGAATCTGCAGAAGAGCGACAGCCAGAGAATAATAATAACAATAAAACAAAATATTAACCCGATAAGTGATCCCAGCCAGCGAGGCAACGACGACCTGATTAGTCTGATAAAACCCATACCTTATGATCGAAGTACAGAGTACTTCGTACAGACATGCAGATACTGTACCTACGGAGTACATTCCCACACATATACACACCGAACAACGCAGGTAAGCCGTCGGGTGGGCTGTCTCCTTATGCCCACCAAGCAGTGGGCACTTTAATTTAGGAAATCCCCCTAAAATGACAGGCCGAGGAGGCGTCCACTGGGGCCCGCTGTCGCGATGCCTGGGGTAAATCACTTGCCTAAGCTGAGGTCGCTGGGAGACCCAACCTTTGAGACTAGGGCCAAAGGCAGCCTGAGTGAGTGGTGAGGTCCGTATCTACCGTAGATTAGTATTATTATTATCACTTACAAAAGCGGTTTTGCGACGAGTGTAGCAGCAACGAACACATGTCCTAGATCATTTGTGGGATAGCGACCAAGACGACGTAAGAATTGAAAGAGTGCCTACGTAGTTGCTATTTTTCTTTCTGCAAACAGAACGGTCTTTCTCCAGTCAGGACTAGGTTGATTTTGGGAATTGGGTGGAAAGAGAAGACCAGGACTCCAGGAGGGACTCAGGGAGAGACCGAGTGTGAGAGAGAGAGAGAGAGAGAGAGAGAGAGAGAGAGGGGAACACCAAAATCCCCACCGGATCCGCCGGTGCCTTAGAATGCTGAGAGGCTAGTATATAGACTCGACCAATAAACACGCCTAAGGCCGCAGGCTGGCCTTGGAACAAACCCACTAGTCTGCAGATGGTTTAGCAGCCTGCATTCGAAGATGCAATCTGGACTTCAGCACTAGTATCAGATACTGTATACCGACACTAGTAATTGGAGTTGTCGACCGCATCTAGTACGTAAGATTACTTATCGATATGTAATGCTTTCCATACTTTACTTCCTTACGATACATCCATACTTGCTTCGCCTGGTAGGTGATATTTGCTGGATATGAACAATCTCCAAATCGCAGACTTCCAACAACCCAGACAAACGTGCTCTGGTAGTCTTGGTAGATCCCTGCACAGATCAATGGCAGAGGTGAAAAACAATGTCATCCATTTTCAATAGAACTAAGGGGATCATCGTATAACTGCAGACAATAAATGGGAGCCGGAGAAGTATCACAGCATACTCACTCCAATACAGCCAGCAGTAAGTCGGGGTACAGACCGCCCCGTACCACATTGGTATGCTTAGGGGTGGACCAACAACAAGCTAGGCCAAGGTGGCTCTGGAAGTGTACTGTACAGTACCAAGACACACCACGTTACTTTCCCCTCGCTGACATCAAAAACCCGTAGTCCTCTGGTCCTCGTTCAATCCTGGCGGTAACTTAATAATGATACTACGCACTCCGTACATAGTAAGTTACCAAGTATGTAATTTATCTAAACTGGTGCCAGACCATCCACACCCAAACCAAGGTTCATCAACTGCCAATCTCTCTCCCCGCGATCGAGCTGGAAACAGATTCCATGACTGGCACCTCCGGCAACCTACCTGTCTGGTTCTCGAGCGGAACTGACCGCCAGCAGTGCGTACCGAACAGGAAGCGATACGGGGAACAGCCGAAAGAGGGAAACTGCTGCCACAAGACTTAATGACAGACCAGGCAACACCAGCCGGGAAATTATCAGCAAGGGATAAGTTAATGTTAGCCGGCGATGCAACAATCCTCGTTCCCCCTCTCTGCCTCTGGCCAAGTATGGGGAATATTTGAAGCTAGTCCAGAGCAGCCCTCTCCCTCGAGGGGTTGGTAAGGTATCATCAATCATCCATCGATTTCATCGGATGAGAGAACCGGGAGGTGGGCCATGGTTCTTCCTACGATGCCGCCCTGGTCCCTCGGTCCGGATTACTAGTAACCCCAATAACTGCTACTTGGCCCGAATAGGCAGTAGTTGTCATCGGTACTGGGATGATTCACAGTCCACCAAGAATGAACAGATGATATCTTTGGCGATAACTATTGGTTCTATCGTAAATCTTAGGATAGGGGGGAGAATCGCAAACGAGAACGCCACGGCTTACCACCGCGGCTCTAATGATGTCCTAATTCGAGGCCGTCCAGGTGAAACGCCAACGATCATCTAACTCCGATCAGTATCATCGCATCGCATCGCATCATAGGGGGGACTTATCGTCGGCTAAGGGAGAATCCGAAGGTGCTATTTCCCCACGTGGCGGGCTTCCAAACCCATCTGGCCCCCCCCCCCCCCCTCGCCGGCGACGCGAGCTCCTGTGAGGACCTTGTACGGGATACTGGAGCTTTCTGAACGCTCTATGAGTCAGTCAAAAGAATAGCTAGCCTGACAAGCTGACAGCCTGAGTTGTCCCTCCCCCACCCCTCCTAAAACAAGGGAGCAAGGACCACCTAGCAGCGGGTCGGTACAAGCTCTCATGCTCTCTCCATGCCCTAGTCGACCACCCCCTTCCCCCGTCCCCCTTCCTTTCCCCGGTTCCACCGTGGCTATTCATCTCGGTCTGATAAGCGGAAATAAGCTATACCTACACCCGAGGCGATTCAAGAGCTATCCGTCGTCGTCTGTTGACGATATTGCCATTTGCAGCGGAGTGACCAGCAAAGAGGCGTAAATTGTGGCTTGCAGGCGCGCAGCTCTCTATTTGTGGAGCTTGCGTGTTCTTCTCTTTCTCTCTCACACACATCCTCTAATTTATCTTGTCATCATCAAGCAAACCTTTTCCGATGAGCGTGGACGGAATCCACATGGTCCAGAACTGACATTTTATCCCCACCCACGATTAAATGAACGGATTGACCAGTATAATGAGTTATGACTTGTGAGGCTTTTGGGGCGAGTGGTGGTGGGGGGGTGTGGTTTCTAGGTAAGGTAGTTCAGCTCCGACACTCTAAGTTAGTGGATCCTTCGTTCATCCTCCTCCACCCCTCCACCCATCCCTCGCCCCAATAATGACAGCGGGTTATATCAAGGGATGATGGGCCGACGATGAAACAAAGACCGACCATCACCGCCGCGCTCCTTGCTATGTATTCCTGAAGTAAGAGTCTAGTAGCGAACCGCCCACTTTCCCTCGCTGACTTAAGGTTTGGCCATTCATGGGTGTGGGGGCCGGGGGGGGGGGGAAGAGAGAAGATGGAGCCAAGGGGGAAACCCCATCTGGTCACCTCGAAAGCTGGTATGTGCAGCCAACCTAAACTGATAAAGGAATCCACTTCGACAATCCAGATCACTCCCTGAGCCGAGAATGGGTCAGTTCTGTCAGTATACACAGAATCTACCGCACTACATCGACAATCACAATCACAGATTCAAATCTGCAACGCACTGAACCCGATCGTCATCCGCTGGATAGATAAAGTTTTTCGTCTACTTCGTTGGGTTCAGCAAATAACTGCCTGC